ACCGAATGCTCCAATAGTGCTAGGGACGAAGAGGCGAAGGCAGTTCTCCAGGGCCAGGTCCAGGACATTGTGTAGACCTGGAAAGGCAATAGAAACTCAGATATGGGCTGCTTGAAACCTTCACCAGACTTAAAAAAATAATACATTCTAACGTTGGATACCAAAACTGACCTGTGATGTTTATCTTTCGGGCTAAAGCCACATTTGCCTCACCCACAGCACTAAGCAAGGCGCTGTAGTGGACCAGCCAAGTAATGCGGTTGTTTACTATCAGCTCTCTGAGGCGCTTGTAGTCCAGCACATCGGCATTCACAAACGGGCCTAAAAGAGAAATAATTAAGAATAAAAAATGGAAATGGAGAAACCTTTTAGAGATTAAAATGTTTCAGATGGTAGTACCTAAACAGCCTTTCCTCACCACTGGCATAAACATGCGATGGGGGCTTCTTGATGTCTGACAAGATTACGCTCTCCGGTCCATACTGGCTCCTGGGAATTATCAAAGTTACAAGATAGTTCCAGTTTCAAATACTTTAATGTTTATGTCAGGAGTTTGCCGGAACTCACCTCAGCATCTCAGCTAGACCCACACCCAACTGCCCCAAACCACCTGCACACAGAGACATGTGACTAAAAAAATAATGTAGATATATTCTTACATCACTAAAGGTTTGGCTCGAATTTCATGTAGAAAACACACAAGAACGGTAGACAAAAAGGGTTTTTGTTTGTGCCAAGGCTTTATTCCAGAACAAACGTCACCCAAGGCTATTATTCTATTTCCTTTCATCTCCCAAACACTGTCTGTTCTCACTCTATTGTGTTTAGTCAAAATGGGGGTCCTGTAGCAAGTGCAGGTTGAAAAACAAAGTGCACGTGTCTCTTGTAATTCTCTGTTGTGGACAAATGCTCACCAAAGCTTCTTTCCTTAAACTATCAAATTTTTCACATTTTATTGCATCTTTTTATAAATGATCTGAGGAATTTTTCCTATTACTTTGCTCACAAGATGCCCATCACCAAAGCACAGCAGAGTCAAAAGTACACACATTTGTTACTTAAGTAGAAGTATAGATACTGCAGTTTAAAAACACTCTGGTAAAAGTTGAAGTATCAACTTGACCTCTTTACCCAAGTAAAAGTGAAAAACTATGTGCTCCAAAAACTACTTAAAGTATAAAAGTATAAATTAACCTTTAAAAAACAGCCAGATGCCACTATATGAAATAAAAGCTCAATTTTACGACTATTTCGAAGAATTCTTTGAGATAGGGCCAAGGTTGAGGGAGGTCTTGTTGGTCTCCATCTCTCGATACGCTCTCGCCTGTGTCCAACCTTTCAGACATTTCAACATCTTTTTCTGAATTCGACATTGTAGCATGGCATAGACAATTCATGTTTACAGTTTGAAGAACACCTGCTTGCTTCTGATGATTTCCTTTAACTAACTAATGAGTGTTTGCATTCTATGACTCATCCAATCACGCTAGTTTTCACTAGATGTAGATGGAGCCAATGATCTGCATTGGATGGAGCACATGACGTGAAATAAATATTTATAAACATTAAACCGAAGCCAAGCGTAACGAGTAACGTTTGTTTTAAAAATGTAAGGAATAGAAAGTACAGATACTTGTGTGAAAATGTAATGAGTAGAAGTCATAAGTAGGAAGAAAAATAAGTAGTGGAGTAAAGTATAGATACCTAACAAGTGCACTTAAGTACAGTAACCAAGTATTTGTACTTCGTTACTTGACTGCTCTGCCAAAGCACTCACAAAAAGTGACCATAGATCATTTTAAGCAGACATTTTAAGGCTGGAATTAGGCTTCACCTGTGATGAGTACACGTGGACTTTCCTGATGAGTATCAGTGCTTAAGGACTCCTGACTGTTCCATCTACTCATCCTCCTAGGCCAAGAATTGAAGCTGCGACTGGTTTGATGCTGCGTCCTGCTGAGGCAGCCTCGGCACAGCACACCCAGCATCGCAGCAGCTGGCATACACACCTGAACCCCAGGCTGCATATCCACTATCCGGCCTTAGAAAAGTTAAAATACCACACTGATTAAATACATTACAAGGAAAATTATATTTGTGTTTCTTTAACATCAAAAGAAACAAAAGACATAAATTACCTTTTCGCTGGAAAACTCAGAAAGCCTAGAAAGATGACTGTTGATCCAAGGTGGGCTGATGTAACTCAGAATATCAACAACAATTCTTCAAAAAAAAAATTGCAGTACTGCATTTGTTTAGCCCCCAAATCACATTCTCAAAACTCTCAGTAACCATTGGTTAAAAATGCATGTGTAGAGAGACATGCTGGCCGACTTGGTTCTGCTTCACCTTTGTGTAAATCACAGTGGTCTGTCCCTCCTGACTGAGCTGGACAACAGTCTCCATCCTGCAAAGCTCCATCAGGCCAAACATGCTGACATGCTGTGCACAGGGATTTGCATTGTGAAGACTGTTTAGCTGAGCTTAACAGGACTGAGGGGTGTGTCAGTTGTATATCCTTCCACTGTACATAACGTGTGGTTACATACTCCCTTTTAAACACCTCTGTAATTGTTAGTCAGGAGAAGAAGGCTGGCTATGGTTCATTCAGTAAAACAACTCATATCTACAGCAAGTATAAGTGTTTGATCTCCATTCTTGACCATTATTTGACAACCAGAGGCTTTTCTAGAACATTGTTTTATTGTAGATCAATATAATTGATTTTAAACTATGTATGGTTGTGTTGGTTGCCTTTGAAGGTTCAGTTCTGAGTCCTTCAGTACTCTCAGATCTTGGACCTCATCTGTATTCTTTAGGTGTAATAACTGAAGCTGCATAACTTTTCTTCAGTTTCAATCAGCACATTCATGCTTTGATTTCCTCAATACATTTATTCAAGCCTTGAATGGGTTTATAGTAATTTGGTGACATTATAATCTGTGTAATCTGTGTATAAACTGTGAGTTGTCTGCATAGATATGGAAATTTATTTTGTAGTTTCATAAAAAACTGTCAGGATTTGGTGTTTGATTGAGGACCCAAATGCAGAGGCAAGTACAGGTAGGCAGAGGTGAATTTAGGTGGGTTTAATAAGGTTCACATGAACTGAGGCAGGAATAAAAAATCCAACAAAAATAACAAACGAACCAGAACCAAGGAGACATCAGGGGAAAACCAAACTCAAGGAACCAGGGAGAGACGAGGTAGGCAGACAGACGTTAGACGAGGATCCAGCAAACAGGAAATGAAGAGGGAGGGCTTTTAAAGGGGACAGAGACAAAGAGAGGGCGAACGAGGGGATTGAAAACAGGTGAGGGCAGATCAGAAAACAGAGCAAGGGAAAGAGGACACAAGAGGGCAGCAGAGGACAACAAATGGAAAACTAAGACTGTGACAAATACGAGTTTGGGGTAACGTGTAGATATTAAATAGGAGGGACCATACGATATATAGTTACCTACTGACACAAAACACTCCTTGTCCTTTAAGTAGGAGTCAAACCAGTCTAGTGTTTAACCAAAAAGGCTAACCCAGTTTTCCAGGCACTCAAGGCACTCAAATCAAGCAATCAACACTGTGGTTCTTCCATTCTGCTTTTTTACAATGTCATCAAACACCTTAAGGGGAGTGTGTGCCTAGCGGTTAGGGCATACAGCTTGGAATCCTGAGGTTATGAGTTTGAGGCCCACTCCCACAGACTGCCACACTGGGTCTCTAAGAAAGACCCTTAACCCCACACTGCTCCCTGGGCACCCCACAATATCAGCCCACTGCTCCCCAAGAAGATGCTGAGGTAAATTTCTCCATTTTGTGGCATTTTGTCTGAATCAGTTCATAAAAAAAAGACTGTAAGTTACATCTACAGAGTTCTTTCTTTCTATATCTTAATATTAAAGCTGGAATCCACTTTTACCACATCTGCTCAGTTTTTCTGCCATTTTTTTAACACTTGACTGATTTTTTTTCTTCTCAGAATTGGAGCAATGGAATGGAAGATGTCTGACATGGAATTAAGGTTATTTACCAGGTCATGTACTGAGTTACAGAGCAAAGTGGAAATAGACGACTAAAGCTTTTAGTAGCACCGTCCCTAAAAATGGCATAAGAGATGGCCAATAATTGAAAGTGCTGCCTTAAAAAGATTTTTGGAAAGTGACTTTGAAACCATATAGTTTTAAAATGACTGTAAATCCTTATTTATAGCTAATACAATACAGAATTCATAGATCACACTATACAGGTCAATGGATGTTCAAGATGGGTTTAGCACCATCTGACATCTGCCCAAAAGGCTCAAGTAATAAAAATTAGATTTATGGACTACCTGTGTAAAGGTTCTTGTGTCCCGTATTTGAGGGTCTGCCCTCCCGGTGTCCCTGTACTCTGTAATGCCTTTAGACATTTGGCTTTCTGGTCTTCTCTGTGTCAGCCCTGAGATCTTTGGGGTGGGTCTGAGGCCCCTCACACCTACTATTGAGCATGTATTTCTGATGGAGTAATATAAACCTTATATACACAAGCACACTCATGGGTATACACCATTCAAGCATTGGCATCCAGATGTTCATGCATATATGGTTATGCCTAATTCTAAGATGCAGCTCCAATTATGTTTAGCTTTAAATAAGATTGTGAAAGTTCTGCTTTTGATGTTTATATGCATGGAGTTACTGGAAGTCCATAGAAGACTCCAACTTTTGTTTTGGATGCTGTGCTGTCTTTTTTTCTTCATTCTTATTTTTGTAGGTATGGCAGCAGACTTCTAGGAGTTATTCTATATTTCCTATGCTTTTTTCTCCTTGATTCTAGCTCCCTCCCGTTCTCCGGTTAGGGGAGGTTTTTCCCTCAATATTCTACTTATTAATAGAGTTTGGGTAAATAATAAAAGCAACTGATGTTAAATCAAAATCGGTGTATTTCAAATTGCCAGATTAACCATTTTCTGTTACTTTTGTTAAATTTCTAAAACAATCTAAAATCACAACAACATTCAGGTTTCTGTAAAATTCAGCTTTTATTACGTAAAAAAAAAAACTGTACATATAAACATAGAAGGAATATTTGAATATTTCTCTGTGAACAACTTAATTACAATAAAATTGTAATATCTTTGTAGAGGCATCACCTCTGAGTCGCCCTGGCCCATTCAATGACCATGGTTCTTATTTCTTCTTGAACTGCCTCAAGATGGCGCGCCTGCTGTGTCCACCTCAGGAAAAAGCCTGGGAATCAGATGAAAGTCATATCAGGGATCACTGTAATGTTCACATGTTGGAGTGCAATAACAGAAGTTTAAGAATGCATGCAATGGGGGTATGGCAGCCTAGTGGTTAGAGCATTGAGCTTGGAATCCTGAGGTTCTGAGTTTCAAGCTCCACTCCAACAGGCTGCCACTCTGGCTCTCTGAGCAAGACCCTTAACCCCTGATTGCTCCCTGGGAGCCCCACAATAGCAGTCCACTGCTCCCCAAGGGGATGGGTTAAATGCAGAGGTAAATTTCTCCAATGTGAGATCAATAAAGTTCAATTATAAGGAAATGGTAGCTTACCTCTCCATAGCTGTAGAGACTGAGGGTGAACTGAGGGCCAGATGGCCAGCTCTGTGGGCTCGTACAGAGGGTTTGAGTAGTAGTCTCTCTCTGATGGCCTCAGCAGGGCCCAGAACAAACAGTGAGTTCGGTCCTTCACTCCCAGGGCACACCTGAAAATGAGAATTAGTTTCAACGCACAGCACTGAGCTCTGCAATATAATTCTTACTGAGTAAAAACAACCACTATTGAACGAACCTTTCCTGGTCATTGTTACACAGAAATGTGCCGTAGTCTGAAGCATAGACCTCATTTGCCAGTCTAAGGAGCAGCGCCTCAGAGAAACCCAACGCTAGAGGGAACTGGCGCCAAAGCTGCCAAACACAGTCCAGCAGGAGCAGGAAGACTGGAGACTCATACTGCAGGCGAGCGTGGGAGTAGGCCGAATGGGCACACCTCTGCTGGAACGGGTGTCCTGCCTGCAAGAAAGACCATGCACTGCACTTAACATCAAATAGGTGAAAAAATGTAAAGGCCTCATATCTTTTATATTAAAATAGTTAACAAATAGCATTATGAAGTTCAAAGGAACAAAGAAACAGCTCAGAAATGAAGATAAAGCAATTTTCAGATTAGGAACAGATTTAAAACAATTTTCCAAACTTTGGATTTCATAAGGAGCTGTGTTTGTACTATCAACTGCAAATAGAAAAAGCTTCACACAACTTTGCATTAGCACTCACCTAAATGCATAAAAGCAATAATATTCATTACAAAAGCAGCAGTGCAGCTGCCATACCACACAGTGATGCAGAAGAAGAGCACGCCTTCCATCACACAGAGATCAAAGTTCCTCAGGACTGAGCTCCTGAGTCCAGCTCTCTACAGCCTCCTGAGGAAGTAGAGTTGCTGATGGTCTTTGCTAAAAACACAGGAAGTTTTGGCACTCCTGGTGAATTCACCTTTGCTCCCTACACTCTACTGCTCCATTCCATTGTCATCAAGAGCCACTGTCTACCCTGTGTTGATTTCAGCCTTGGTGAATTTAATAATAACGGAATTGTCCCAGATGGCCATCAGTTTGGTTAAGCTGTGCTTCGGCTGTGAGTTTAGCACTAAAGTGGTACATAAATCAGCTTCAAATCAATCACATTAAGTCTTAATCCCAGGAGCTGGAGAAGCTGCTGCAGCCACCATGACAGCAAACAGTTGATGAGGCTAAACAGAACAAAATACGAGATAATCCTAGAGGAAAACATGTTTGAGGCTGCAACATAAAACCAACGCTACAATAGAATGATCAAATTTCTGTTGCAGAATGGCCCAGTCAAAGTTCAGACTTAAAGTCAAAATAAAATCTGTAGCAACACTTATTGCTCAAAGACAGACAGTTTGAGCTTGAGCTGCATATTTTGCAAAGAAGAGGCGGTGAGAAGATGCGAAAAGCTGTAATCTTAGTGAAAGCTGGTCCTGAAGTATTACTCATGGGCACAACAAAATCCCTTTGCAAAAAGTTAAAAGCTAAATAATGTTCTGTCCTCTGCTGAGTTGTGCACATTTTGTTGTTATGTCACATAACATCCCAACAAAATATCACTTTGGGTGTAACGTCATAACATTTGAGTAATGTCCTGGAGTGTGCAAAGTTTAAATAGATACAATTTTCCTTTACAATTTCAAATCTGAATGATCTTAGTAAACTTTGTTAAATATATTCATAAAAATTGGGTCTTTTAAAGTATGATTTAAAAAACTCTTTTCTTGTATTCTAAACACAAAGAGACCCCACCTGTAGCCACTCCCTATCCAGGAGAGCCAGGAAACCCTCCAGCGTTCGGCAGCTTGGGTCCATGATGAGCTGGGCCAGAGTGCAGATGAGCAAAGTGCAGTCTGTCCCTTCATAGCCGTGGACCAGAGCTGAATGACCATCCCTGCATGAAACAATGGACATAATAAAGAAAAAAAAACTAATTTGCACTGATTCCTTGATGCAGCACGTTTTAGAAATTAAACTATAAAAACTATTTCTTAGATTAAAAAAATAATAATCTAAATGTGGAAATGTCAGATTTTACATATTTCTTGAATAGTATCAAACCCAGTCACCATTGAGACATTAAAACAGTATCCTATTTATACTTCTTCTGTTTTTGTTGTTTGATCCATTACCATATTAGCTATTCAGTTGATTAACTTAATTCTCTCATAATTCCACTAAAAGACTCAATAGCTAATAACCATAGGGGGTTTTAGCCTATTTTTGGGGGTGCTGAAGCAACCCTAATTTGAATCAAAGCATGTTCGGGTTCATCAGAAATAATAATAAATAAACCAAAACAAAATAAACAAGCCTGATGGAGCTCCTTAACTAAAATGTTGACCAACGCTTTGAGGAAAACGCTTCATTCAGGTGTTTTCTGAAATGTTCAGTCCAATTTCTCCACCTATTGAAGGTGTGTTGGTGAAATATCCATCAGTGAGGTTCTCTATTGTGTCTGAGACTGGTTTGTTTGATTATCTTTAAAACCACAACTCAATATTTTCATTTACTAAATCATTAGTTTCTTGTTATTTCAATTTACAATCTATTTTAAGATTTCTATTCCAAAGAGGGAGATGTGTACAAGGGGGAGCAGAGTAGCAAGGTGTGTTCAAAATAAAAAGGTAAGGAAAAACCATCTAAGAAATAGCAGCAGTTGTTAAACTTTCCTTCAGTAGATTATTTTACATATACACTATATTGCCAAAAGTATTTGCTCACCTGCCTTGACTCACATATGAGCTTAAGTGACATCCCGTTCCTAATCCATAGGGTTCAATATGACGTCGGTCCACCCTTTGCAGCTAGAACAGCTTCAACTCTTCTGGGAAGGCTGTCCACAAGGTTTAGGAGTGTGTTTATGGGAATTTTTGACCATTCTTCCAGAAGCGCATTTGTGAGGTCGCACACTGATGTTGGACGAGAAGGCCTGGCTCTCAGTCTCCGCTCTAATTCATCCCAAAGGTGTTCTATCGGCTCCACACACTCTGCCAGCAGGCCAGCTGTAGACAGAGCAGTCTGGACGTGAGACAGCCACTTTGAATCCAGATGTTCATGCATATATGGTTATGCCTAATTCTAAGATGCAGCTCCAATTATGTTTAGCTTTAAATAAGATTGTGAAAGTTCTGCTTTTGATGTTTATATGCATGGAGTTACTGGAAGTCCATAGAAGACTCCAACTTTTGTTTTGGATGCTGTGCTGTCTTTTTTTCTTCATTCTTATTTTTGTAGGTATGGCAGCAGACTTCTAGGAGTTATTCTATATTTCCTATGCTTTTTTCTCCTTGATTCTAGCTCCCTCCCGTTCTCCGGTTAGGGGAGGTTTTTCCCTCAATATTCTACTTATTAATAGAGTTTGGGTAAATAATAAAAGCAACTGATGTTAAATCAAAATCGGTGTATTTCAAATTGCCAGATTAACCATTTTCTGTTACTTTTGTTAAATTTCTAAAACAATCTAAAATCACAACAACATTCAGGTTTCTGTAAAATTCAGCTTTTATTACGTAAAAAAAAAAACTGTACATATAAACATAGAAGGAATATTTGAATATTTCTCTGTGAACAACTTAATTACAATAAAATTGTAATATCTTTGTAGAGGCATCACCTCTGAGTCGCCCTGGCCCATTCAATGACCATGGTTCTTATTTCTTCTTGAACTGCCTCAAGATGGCGCGCCTGCTGTGTCCACCTCAGGAAAAAGCCTGGGAATCAGATGAAAGTCATATCAGGGATCACTGTAATGTTCACATGTTGGAGTGCAATAACAGAAGTTTAAGAATGCATGCAATGGGGGTATGGCAGCCTAGTGGTTAGAGCATTGAGCTTGGAATCCTGAGGTTCTGAGTTTCAAGCTCCACTCCAACAGGCTGCCACTCTGGCTCTCTGAGCAAGACCCTTAACCCCTGATTGCTCCCTGGGAGCCCCACAATAGCAGTCCACTGCTCCCCAAGGGGATGGGTTAAATGCAGAGGTAAATTTCTCCAATGTGAGATCAATAAAGTTCAATTATAAGGAAATGGTAGCTTACCTCTCCATAGCTGTAGAGACTGAGGGTGAACTGAGGGCCAGATGGCCAGCTCTTTGGGCTCGTACAGAGGGTTTGAGTAGTAGTCTCTCTCTGATGGCCTCAGCAGGGCCCAGAACAAACAGTGAGTTCGGTCCTTCACTCCCAGGGCACACCTGAAAATGAGAATTAGTTTCAACGCACAGCACTGAGCTCTGCAATATAATTCTTACTGAGTAAAAACAACCACTATTGAACGAACCTTTCCTGGTCATTGTTACACAGAAATGTGCCGTAGTCTGAAGCATAGACCTCATTTGCCAGTCTAAGGAGCAGCGCCTCAGAGAAACCCAACGCTAGAGGGAACTGGCGCCAAAGCTGCCAAACACAGTCCAGCAGGAGCAGGAAGACTGGAGACTCATACTGCAGGCGAGCGTGGGAGTAGGCCGAATGGGCACACCTCTGCTGGAACGGGTGTCCTGCCTGCAAGAAAGACCATGCACTGCACTTAACATCAAATAGGTGAAAAAATGTAAAGGCCTCATATCTTTTATATTAAAATAGTTAACAAATAGCATTATGAAGTTCAAAGGAACAAAGAAACAGCTCAGAAATGAAGATAAAGCAATTTTCAGATTAGGAACAGATTTAAAACAATTTTCCAAACTTTGGATTTCATAAGGAGCTGTGTTTGTACTATCAACTGCAAATAGAAAAAGCTTCACACAACTTTGCATTAGCACTCACCTAAATGCATAAAAGCAATAATATTCATTACAAAAGCAGCAGTGCAGCTGCCATACCACACAGTGATGCAGAAGAAGAGCACGCCTTCCATCACACAGAGATCAAAGTTCCTCAGGACTGAGCTCCTGAGTCCAGCTCTCTACAGCCTCCTGAGGAAGTAGAGTTGCTGATGGTCTTTGCTAAAAACACAGGAAGTTTTGGCACTCCTGGTGAATTCACCTTTGCTCCCTACACTCTACTGCTCCATTCCATTGTCATCAAGAGCCACTGTCTACCCTGTGTTGATTTCAGCCTTGGTGAATTTAATAATAACGGAATTGTCCCAGATGGCCATCAGTTTGGTTAAGCTGTGCTTCGGCTGTGAGTTTAGCACTAAAGTGGTACATAAATCAGCTTCAAATCAATCACATTAAGTCTTAATCCCAGGAGCTGGAGAAGCTGCTGCAGCCACCATGACAGCAAACAGTTGATGAGGCTAAACAGAACAAAATACGAGATAATCCTAGAGGAAAACATGTTTGAGGCTGCAACATAAAACCAACGCTACAATAGAATGATCAAATTTCTGTTGCAGAATGGCCCAGTCAAAGTTCAGACTTAAAGTCAAAATAAAATCTGTAGCAACACTTATTGCTCAAAGACAGACAGTTTGAGCTTGAGCTGCATATTTTGCAAAGAAGAGGCGGTGAGAAGATGCGAAAAGCTGTAATCTTAGTGAAAGCTGGTCCTGAAGTATTACTCATGGGCACAACAAAATCCCTTTGCAAAAAGTTAAAAGCTAAATAATGTTCTGTCCTCTGCTGAGTTGTGCACATTTTGTTGTTATGTCACATAACATCCCAACAAAATATCACTTTGGGTGTAACGTCATAACATTTGAGTAATGTCCTGGAGTGTGCAAAGTTTAAATAGATACAATTTTCCTTTACAATTTCAAATCTGAATGATCTTAGTAAACTTTGTTAAATATATTCATAAAAATTGGGTCTTTTAAAGTATGATTTAAAAAACTCTTTTCTTGTATTCTAAACACAAAGAGACCCCACCTGTAGCCACTCCCTATCCAGGAGAGCCAGGAAACCCTCCAGCGTTCGGCAGCTTGGGTCCATGATGAGCTGGGCCAGAGTGCAGATGAGCAAAGTGCAGTCTGTCCCTTCATAGCCGTGGACCAGAGCTGAATGACCATCCCTGCATGAAACAATGGACATAATAAAGAAAAAAAAACTAATTTGCACTGATTCCTTGATGCAGCACGTTTTAGAAATTAAACTATAAAAACTATTTCTTAGATTAAAAAAATAATAATCTAAATGTGGAAATGTCAGATTTTACATATTTCTTGAATAGTATCAAACCCAGTCACCATTGAGACATTAAAACAGTATCCTATTTATACTTCTTCTGTTTTTGTTGTTTGATCCATTACCATATTAGCTATTCAGTTGATTAACTTAATTCTCTCATAATTCCACTAAAAGACTCAATAGCTAATAACCATAGGGGGTTTTAGCCTATTTTTGGGGGTGCTGAAGCAACCCTAATTTGAATCAAAGCATGTTCGGGTTCATCAGAAATAATAATAAATAAACCAAAACAAAATAAACAAGCCTGATGGAGCTCCTTAACTAAAATGTTGACCAACGCTTTGAGGAAAACGCTTCATTCAGGTGTTTTCTGAAATGTTCAGTCCAATTTCTCCACCTATTGAAGGTGTGTTGGTGAAATATCCATCAGTGAGGTTCTCTATTGTGTCTGAGACTGGTTTGTTTGATTATCTTTAAAACCACAACTCAATATTTTCATTTACTAAATCATTAGTTTCTTGTTATTTCAATTTACAATCTATTTTAAGATTTCTATTCCAAAGAGGGAGATGTGTACAAGGGGGAGCAGAGTAGCAAGGTGTGTTCAAAATAAAAAGGTAAGGAAAAACCATCTAAGAAATAGCAGCAGTTGTTAAACTTTCCTTCAGTAGATTATTTTACATATACACTATATTGCCAAAAGTATTTGCTCACCTGCCTTGACTCACATATGAGCTTAAGTGACATCCCGTTCCTAATCCATAGGGTTCAATATGACGTCGGTCCACCCTTTGCAGCTAGAACAGCTTCAACTCTTCTGGGAAGGCTGTCCACAAGGTTTAGGAGTGTGTTTATGGGAATTTTTGACCATTCTTCCAGAAGCGCATTTGTGAGGTCGCACACTGATGTTGGACGAGAAGGCCTGGCTCTCAGTCTCCGCTCTAATTCATCCCAAAGGTGTTCTATCGGGTTGAGGTCAGGACTCTGTGCAGGCCAGTCAAGTTCATCCACACCAGACTCTGTCATCCATGTCTTTATGGACCTTGCTTTGTGCACTGGTGCACAGTCATGTTGGAAGAGGAAGGGGCCAGCTCCAAACTGTTCCCACAAAGTTGGGAGCATGGAATTGTCCAAAATGTCTTGGTATGCTGAAGCATTCAGAGTTCCTTTCACTGGAACTAAGGGGCCAAGCCCAGCTCCTGAAAAACAACCCCACACCATAATCCCCCCTCCACCAAACTTTACACTTGGCACAATGCAGTCAGACAAGTACCGTTCTCCTGGCAACCGCCAAACCCAGACCCGTCCATCAGATTGCCAGATGGAGAAGCGCGATTCGTCACTCCAGAGAACGCGTCTCCACTGCTCTAGAGTCCAGTGGCGGCGTGCTTTACACCACCGCATCCGACGCTTTGCATTGCACTTGGTGATGTATGGCTTGGATGCAGCTGCTCGACCATGGAAACCCATTCCATGAAGCTCTCTGCGCACTGTTCTTGAGCTAATCTGAAGGCCACATGAAGTTTGGAGGTCTGTAGTGATTGACTCTGCAGAAAGTTGGCGACCTCTTCGCACTATGCGCGTCAGCATCCGCTGACCCCGCTCCGTCAGTTTACGTGGCCTACCACTTCGTGGCTGAGTTGCTGTCGTTCCCAAACACTTCCATTTTCTTATAATACAGCTGACAGTTGACTGTGGAATATTTAGGAGCGAGGGAATTTCACGACTGGATTTGTTGCACAGATGGCATCCTATCACAGTTCCACGCTGGAATTCACTGAGCTCCTGAGAGCGACCCATTCTTTCACAAATGTTTGTAAAAACAGTCTGCATGCCTAGGTGCTTGAATTTATACACCTGTGGCCATGGAAGTGATTGGAACACCTGATTCCAATAATTTGGATGGGTGAGCAAATACTTTTGGCAATGTAGTGTATCATGGAAGTAAATTTGGCACACAAAGGAGAAAACATTCCATGAAAATATTTGATTTAAAAGCGTTTTGCTTTGCTTGTTGGGTTGCATTAGTGAATAATGGAGTCAGGTAGTAGCACTACTAATTTCAAAAATATGTGTAGAAAACAGTAAAATTAAAATTGTCTGGGCAGACAGCTCTCTGGTTGATCAGCACCCCTAAACCTCTGATCTAGAATCACCCCTGCTAATAACTAATCTACATCACTCCTTTGTTAGGTGTTCTTTCAACTGTAATTCAGAAATGGACGTGCAGACCAAGTGTAACCTCCAACACATACAGCAGGAGGTGCTCCTACCTCTCCACACACTCTGCCAGCAGGCCAGCTGTAGACAGAGCAGTCTGGACGTGAGACAGCCACTTTGAATTCTCAAGCTTGCTGAGCCAACGGTCCACATTGTGGGACTCATCCCCGCAGGCCTCCACCAGTTTAATCAAGCTCTCCTGGAGGGCCTTACCCCTGAAGACACCAAGAAAATGATGATTAAAATGTGAAAGATCTGCAAAATCAATAACATGATTGCAACAAACCTTTCCATCTGTCTGTGAAGTCTCTTCCATTGGCTATAGAATGATTTAGACTCAAATCCTCCTCCTGTCATCCGAGCCTGCTGGACCTGCTGACTTGAGCGGGTGTCGATGATAAATCCTTTATCTGAGTCGTCAATCACAGCCTGAAGGAGAAGTTCATCTTCCTTGCAGCGTTTCCTGTTGGCGCCTGTTAGTGGCTGACTGCTGCGCATGATCACCTGCAGAAATACGGACCAGGTCGGAGATGAAACGATGTTGGCTAAATTGATCGTACACCATGTAGCTTTACACATTCTGATGGGTTTAATCCACAAATCTCATGCTTTTTATTTGGATTATAGGTGATGGCAGAAAGGAAAGACAGAAAAGTTTTGGGTTTTTTTAATGTTTACAGGTAAGATTCTGAGAAGTGTGGCTTACCCCTTTGAGCTAAATTTAATTTCCCTTTCTTCTTATCAAATCTAACCAGCCTCAGTATGCCTTCAAAAGAAAGCTATTTCCTCAGAATAATGCTGCCAAAACCATTTTTCAACATGTATTCAGGGGGATGATCGTTGTTCAGTTTCACTAACCATTTTACACATTTGCTTTCATCCTGCATAGCTTTTGGAAACCTATAAAACCAACTTCCTATTCATTTCCTTTAGCAAAGACAAATTTCTTCTTGTCAATTCTATAAAGCTTAGAAATATGTATGTATAACCATCGGTTGTCCAGTCAACATATTCCGTAAAAGCAGCCATGGGTCTTTTTTTGTTGTTGTTTTTTTAGAGGTTGTTTACCTAGAGGTGAGACGTCTTTAATTTATAGTTGGCTGACAGGAAAGGGGGTATGAGAGAGGGGGAGAGACATGCGGCAAAGGATCACAGGTCACAGGTCAGATTCGAACTCCAGCTATGGGTGTTTGCATCTGCTCCAGAGGTGACCTTGTAGCTCCTTCCTTAAAAAAATGCTCAGTTTCCCCTTTAGAATACTTGGATTACTGTGCATCTGTAGGTTTGCATTTCTTCCATAATCTTTCAATTTTGGGATGCTGGTTTAAACAGTGATCTGTGAGATCTTCTGTGTTCAGCATCACATTTAATAAATTAATCCACATTATAACTGCTCAAAAATATCTCCTTTTCACCTGTGCAAAATTTTCCTTAATTTTCATGATGCTGTTTATTTATTTATGGTTTGTAACAAACCTCTGAGGCTTTAATGGAAGTGTTGGATTTATACAGAGATTAATACAAACGCATGCCAGGATTTGCTTATATATATATATATAGAGAGAGAGAGAGAGAGAGAGGGATTGATATGAAAGTATAGAGTCATATATACATACTTAGGTATAGTAGGTATACTTGACTTTTAGGTATGCACTTACAATTCAAGGTTGCAATCTGCCATTTAACTAATAGAAGAAGAAGAAGCTGGTTCTGCTCTTTCATTGGAGTCCAGGTGTGTTTAATTAAACTGATTGACTCTCACCATGCCATTCTTTCTGTGATAGTAGCACAGGACAGGGAAGCGACCAGCCTGCCTGAATTTGGCCACCTTCTTCAACATTTCATCGTCGATGGAGTTTGGAACAATGACCATGGGAGGATAGGAAGGACATACGGAGTAGCTTTCGTTAACGCTGCTCAGTCTCCATTTCTTATGCTGAAAATAAAGACGACAAAGAAGATGTTCAGAAATGACTGAAGAATCTGTGAGCACCAAATCTGTTTCCAGCTGATGTCAGACTGGCATTCCTTTTAATACAATGTTCCTGACCTTTTATAAATGTGGACTGTTACACCTACACACTGAAAAACACAACATGCTCCAGATGTTTCTTTATATTTTGATTTGAACAAGTAATGTGCTTTGAGATCTTTTTGATGTCTTTGTTTTTAAATAACGGCACTCATGGAAATACTTCATTTCAAGCCAGTAGTGTTATTGGACTCCAGGACAAGACCTTATTACCATTGTAACATTCAAAATAGGGATATTTTAATGGCAAAAATTTATGTCAAGCGCACACGATCCATCAATGGAGGCCTTAGTCATCAAGGCGGGTGACCTGGGTTCAAATCCTTTCCTGCATGTCTTTCCCTCTCTCTCATACCCCCTTTCCTGTCAGCCTACTGTCCATAAAAACAAGCCACTAGTGCTGTAAAAACTCAACAAAAAAAAGTAAATGTAATAACAAGAAACGCCAACTTGCCTGAATATATTAAGAAAAATAATAGAAGTGCTTCTACAAGAAATTCATGAAAAACACTCTGAGAGTGAAAGAAACACATTATTGTGGTGCAACATAACCTTAGAGGCATTAATGCTGATACTGGCAATTACAGTTTTTAGTTTATAAACCTAAATATAGTTGTTAACTAGGCTTTTTAACTTGTTGGGTCCTTTTGCAAGGGGTATGCAAGTTATCAAAAAACTAAATGCCCAATAAATGGTTAAAACAGTCTTTAAAAAACATTTTTCAGAGAAATATGTGGTTGTATATTGTAATAAACCTAGGTTATGTTAGTTTTTACTTTAATGATCAGCCCTTCTGTTAGCTGCAATGTGTCTAAAAGGCAACATTTGTTCTGTGAAAACATTTTATATTTCACACACACACAGATAAATACCCAAATAGCTATTTTCATCAGCTGATTATGCAGAAGTAATTTCATAAGGCAGGTCTTTGCTGTATTCTTCCACTACGTAAAGGAATAAGAAGCAATAGTCAAATAAAAAAATGAAAACAAAATATAATACTTTAGAGTAAGCCTGGAGAAGATTTGCTCAAGAGTAGCTAAAAAAAGTCTGGAGGAAGACAGCAGACAGTAGGGCTGATCTGCAGAAGCTGTTTCACATCTTAAAACAGTATCTGAATGAGCAGAGAATCTTCAAAGGAGATGCAAAGTTATTTGCGTTTGCAGTTCAGCAGCAATGTGTGCAAACCTTTTTTTGTGTCTGTGTTCTCTAATCAATATGCATATCAAAGAAAAATATCTTTTGTTTTTTGTATATTTAACTTTATTTTCATCAGAGTTAAAAGTTCTTTAAAAATAAAGTCATTTAAAAGTTCTATATATATATTTTAACATTATAACCTTAAGCTCCATGGCTTATAAACTAATCTGTTTTATCATAAACACTTGCAAATTGTCTGTAGAATATGTTTTCTGCTCATTTATAATGAGTCAGGACCAAACTGGTTTATGTTTTAACATCTGCGCAGGAATCTTTGTAGATCATCAACATCTGACCCACTTATTGCACATACTAAAAAACTTTACTTGCAATTTAACTCGCTTTATTTGGGTCTGTTGAAGATCAGCCTTTATGATTGCTGCACCGTTTAGTATGTTATCATATATCTAAGTACTTATTGAATTATTTGGTCATGTTATTAACTCTGTAGTTTTCTTGGATCCAATATGCAATAAAAAAATCTGATTTCATTAGAATGCCTTAATGACTCTTTTATGATGGCTGTGGCATCAGCCATCTTCTATGGAGCTGTCAGTTGGAGGAGTGGCTTTTCTGTAGCTGAGAGAAAGCGGCTGCAGAAGATGATCATGCATGAAGCTGTTGCAGAACTAGGGAGCTCATTCAGTGACAGGCTGCCGAACCCTAAATGCACCAGGGAGCGTTATCACAGATCCTTCCTCCCAGCAGATGCAACACTCTAGAACCACCACTGTTCCCAACAACCTCAATAAGTTCTTACATTCATGCTGATTTTGCACATTTTCTATCTTAGTCAGTTAAATTCAATTTGGTTTATTTATGTAGTGCCAATTCACAACACAATTCATCTCAAGGCACTTTCCAGTTCACCAGATCATACAGTCAGATTGATTCAAAGTTTTCTATCTAAGGAAAACCAGGTGATTGCATCGACTCACTGACTCAAATGCAATCCCTCACACTAATTATGCTTGTAGTGACAGTGGAGAGGAAAAACTCCCTTTTAACAGGAAGAAACCTCCAGCAGATACAGGCTCAGTAAATAGCATGCTGCTGTCATTTTGCACATCTCTGCGGTTGCTGCTATTTTTAAATATCCATTTCTGTAAAAACATCCATAGCTTTATATTGGTTATTTATTCTCCAGGTGCAGTTTTATACCGTCAAAACACTTTACAGCACAGTATTTTACTGTTTATATTTTAACTCTTCACTATTATGTTATCCTTATACACTTTTCTAAGATCCAAATTTGTGTGACCTTTTTATCTATAATCTTTTTGCTGCTGTAAAAACACCAGAATTTCCCTATTGCTGGACAATAAATGGATTTTCTATTCTATTCTTAAGCAGGCAGGCTGCTGTGATTAAATTAGATATAGGCTCTTTAATATGCTAAAGATTTACAGAGAAACTGTAAATCTAACTATATGCAATGAGCTTGAGACAACCAATAGAAAAGTAAGAATTAGCAGGAAAAGAAACATTTAGAGAGGCACATTCCACTCAGTTTCTCCCAGTAACCGGACCACCAAGATACATACAGCCCACCTACTTGAAGAATACTAGGCCAATAAAACACTTATAACAATTAAAACCCTCAATGCCCAATCCCTCTCCATGGTAACAAACTATTCCCAAAAGAAGACAAGAACTCGAGCTGTGAGTTAGTCTGTTCTAACATTTAGGGGAAACACATGAAGACTAAGCAACAGGGATATCCTGAAAAGTGACCTGTACCGTCACCCATTCCTGGCATCTTCCTGTCATATGCCTGCTGAAGTGTTTTTGGAAAAAAAAAAAAAAAAAGAAGGCTTGCCTTTTGAGTCACACTTACCTACATTCTGTTTTAAGTTTTTTTTAAACAAGTATATAAAGCTTTATAAGTTGCTTACCAGCTGCTTTATTTGAGTGTATTGTTTTTCAGGGGTGGAGAGGCCCCACTGGTCCCGCAGGCTGAGGTCAGTGGGTCTGTAAAAGAAGGGATACATCGCCGACACATTGTCCAGACAGGAAAGGGTCTGCAGGAAAAGACAATCAGCTGGTAAATTATGTAATAAAACGACATATCATGTAGGAAAGAAAGTATTGTGATTAATAAGGTTTAGCTGCAGAACACCTCGATGGAGTGTGCAATGTTGAGGCACTGCTCCATGCCTGGAATGTCAAGCTGAAGCACCCGCAGATCTTTGCATTTGATGGTAATCGTCCCTGACGATCCAGACGTCCTGCACACATAAAAGAAACTATGAACAGATTGTTTTCTTTTTAAAGATAAGGCATCCCATGCCCATTCAAAGGCCTATTCCAAGACTGGGGGGTGCAATGTGGGATGTTTGACTTGCAGCAGAAGAGGAAGCCCTAAAACAACCAGTTTTTTTGTGAAGGGTCTGCCTTTCTTAGTCTGTGACCCAATAGTTAAAAAGGGTTTCAGCAATACTTTCACAACACATTGAAATCAAGCTGCTGACAGGAGACAGAAGCGTTGGCTTGCAAGCGGTTGTAAGAAGCTGTACATTTGTTAAGAAATGTCTGCTTTCAGCAGAGGCAGAATACAGCAGACACATGGCAACACCAACATTTCCAAACCTGTCACTGAGGACTGCATTAGAGAAGAAGCCGGAATAGCCCAAAAGGTTTTCCACACTGGTTGGACAGATTTAAGGAAGTAAATTAGACATAAGTTGGATTAAATGACACAGTAATGATTAATTCATTCGCAGGTTTGGAAGTGTAAACTTAAATAACTTTAAATTTCATTTGAAATCGATGGAGTCATGTGAATCGATATACTAAAGGAGTTAATTCTCAGTTTGATTTCAGTTGTAAAAACAGAAGAAACCAAGATTCTTGTTTCAAATCCCTATTCTGAGAAGCCAATTATGTGAAGAGAAACCTTGGTGTAGCTTTAGTAAACAACTTTTCCTTCTTCTGGAGCCACCCTCACCTTTTCTCTATGGCATCGATGTTCCTGAGCAGCAGCAGGACCTGCTGGGAGCTGCCCTCCTCTCTGTCCGAGAAGAGCAGGTGGTGTCCGGTGATGCACAGGGTGCCTCTGCTCGGTGGGTGCAGGGGCTGCCGGAGCACAACATCCTCCACGTTGGCCGTCTTAATGTGGTCAGAAAACTCCATGTGGCACCCCCAGACCTCAGAAAATGAGTATTTCTATGTTCCAACTCTTTGCTCTTCACTCCAAATCACTTCCTTACTGTAACTCTTAAAGAAAATGAAAGCAAGCTTCCTCTTCTGCGCTCAGAGCTGGTTGGGCAGCCTTGCAGCTGCGCTTTTGGTTTCACGATAAGGCATCTAAAAATAGAAAAAACTTCATATTAGTCTCTACATTACCAAACCTGGCGCGCCTTTGCCTTTTGTAGTAACGGCTTACTGAGAGTGGGGGGGTGTGGAAATAAATGGGCAATAAGTTGCTTGTGACAACAAAAGACGGAAGTGCGCGTTTCCTGGGACGAAAAGAGACCCTGACAGATGTGTGACATTGAACAGTTACGCGCTGTTTCGCTCCAAGAGAAGCAGCTGCAGTGCGCGTGCAATGCAAAGAATCACCACAAGATGGCAGCATGTGCAAAACTTTAAAAAGCTCCAGGTTAGGGTCCCCTGCTCTTTATAAACATTTCAACAGTGCATTTTTAACATCTACTGAAAGAGCCTTTAGAAATCTTGATTGCATTATAATTTAATTTGAAGGGTAATTTTGAAGGGATTTTATCTCTAAAGATAAAAAAGTAATGTAAAATAGTAAGAGGAAACCTACCTTTCTATTAATATCAAAGAGGTAAGGAAAATTGAGAAAGCTTCCTGGAGGGGAAGTGAAACGTCTTCAAACCTTGGAAACCAAGTCCAGTGGATTGTTTTTAAACTTTTACAGAATGACTATGACTTGAATGACTGAGAATCTTCATCAGCATATAAAAAATGTGGAAGTAAAAAAAAAGGGAAAATAATATCTTAAAAAAATATCCTGACAATTTTTTTTTTCAGTTTGCAAAAACATAACCAGAGTTGTGCAAAAATAAATAAATAAATAAATAAAATAAAACATCAAGGGTCCTGGAAGGTTATGAAAATAAAATTACGGAACTAACAAATTATCCCTTAGATTATCAACCTTATACAACACAATTTACCATCATTAGTGTTTCAAAAATAACCTTATTTCATGTTTATGATGAATTTGTATTTTAATCTTCTTTAGGTAAAACTGCATCATCATTTGGAAAATAATTTATCCTTTTTTATCATTAGGGTCTATTTAGAAAAGACGGTTGGAATTTTATTGCAGCCTTTAATAAAAAAGGAAACCAAATGATGCATGTCTGTGTTTATGTGGCTATGAAAAAAGGCTACTAGAAAAATTGGAATATTTGTCATAAACCTTCAATCAACTGACCCTGCAAACACAGTAGCTTAGTGTTAAATTATTATTGGATATATGAATATTAGAAAACATTTGCATTGTGTAATACGGCAGAATATTAATTGGTTGAAATGTGTAGGTTAGTTATAACAGTGTGTTTCATGATATTATAACGCACATTATGCAGGAGATTATGTTATCCCATGTGTTTGTCTCAGCTTCTTTAACTATCAGGGTTTTAAAGGAAATAATATGAAATATTTTTTCGGATTCATTCCTGAGATGCTGGTGAGACCAGGCTTGATTAAATGTTGTGCATCTGTGCTTGATGTCAGGACAGATTAGGAAAGACCTGTCATGATGCGGCAAATAGGTCAATGGGCCAATGATAAAGACCTATTCTTCCGTATTGAATTAAATTTTCCAGCATCTGAAGCTATGATCTTCTAGTGGTTCTCTTATACATAGTGGAAAACCATTTATCCCTTTATTCCTACTTTATTAATATTAATTAATGGACTGGATCTCATAGCTGTTTTACAAGCCAATCACATATGTTTGGTCATTTAAAGATGAGTAAATAAATTCAAACCAAATGTCATTAGAATATGAGCTGAATATACGTCAATTTTTTTCTGAATCGGAATTTCATCCTTTCACTTTAAAAAAAATTGTAAAAGATTACAAAAAATACTCACTTAGCAGAGAAGAAAATGAGAAGACTGGTCTGAGAAAATAAAAAGGGCAAACAGAACTAAAATAAGCACTACCTACAACAAAGACAAACTTTCTCAGAATGCAAAATACATTTTGAACCTTGAATCAGTTGGACTGCAGCAGCAGAGTGCCAAGCCTTTCAGCCAAGAACAGGAAACCGAGCAACTCATAAAGGCTTACCATCAATAACAGATAGGAGAATCTAAGCAATGAGTCTTTGTTTTAGCTGCAGCATAGAGGTGGTCAGAATATTAAGATGCCATGCTGTTTATTTTCTTAACACATTTTAGGCCCTTAGCTAACAGCATTATTTAAATACTGAGAAATAAACTAATCTACCGTATGTAATATATAACTAACTATACAGTATATAACATTAATACCACCCTATAATAAACATATGCTTTAGTAAAGTAGTAGCGTTTATCACTGGTATGTTTATCAGTCATCCTCTATGGTGTGGTATGCTGGAGCTTATCTGTAACTGAGAGGAGGCAGCTGGGTAAGCTCATCAGGAGGACCAGGCCTGTCCTCTGCACCCAATGCAGGTGGCGTGAGACAGAATAACTGTAAGAAAAATGACATCACAGTGTATCCCAACCCATACAAGGATCTGATGCAGAGCAGGATAGCTCTCTCAGGGACACACTGCTTCATCATACATGCTTAAAGTAGCGCTTCCACAGATCCTTCCTCCTAACTGCTGTTATATTTTTCAACCCCTGCATTTTTTAATAGTGTTTACAAACATGCTGGTTCCACAGGTCTGCAATGTGATCAAAATTCATTGACATTGCATTAAAATGCTGATGTTTATTTGGACACTTGTTAGTTTCATTGAGAGCGTTTTTACAATCATGCATATTGCACAGTATAATTTTGCTCTCAGTTGTTTCTATTTGACTTTTGAATTGCAAATATACCTGAATATGATATTTATTAATAAATGCACATCCCATTACTGACAAATTCTACCTTTACTGCAACAGCTTCATGCATGGGGGTTGGATAATGTCTCCCACCCCACTCCTTTAGTGACAGACTGCTGCACCCTAAATGCACCAGGGAGTGTTATCACAGATCCTTCCTCCCAGCTGCTGCAAGACTAAATAACCACCACTGATCTCAACAACCTCAATAAGTTGTCACAATTATGATTTTGCACAGTTCCTACTTTAGTCAGTTAAAAAACATGCTGCTAACATTTTGCACAACTCTGATGTCGCTGCTATTTTAAAATATCTGTTACTGAAAAATGTCTATACCTACTGGTTATTTATTCTCTGGTGCACAGTGTTTTATATTGTTAAAACACTTTACAGTACAGTATTTTATTTGTTTTTTTGTTTTTTTACTCTTCACTATTGTGTTATTTCTATACCCTCTTCTAACATCCACATTTGTGTCAACATTTTTCTATAATCTTATTGCTGCTGTAAACACCAGAATTTCCCCATTGTGGGAAAATAAAAGGAGTTTATGTTCTATTCTATTCTATTCTACTCTGTTCTGTTCTATTTATAGATTAACTTTGAATTGGTTTTTGATTTTATATTTCTTTAAATTTAATCTATTGTTTTCTCTGTTTTTCTTGCTTTCATGTCCCTTTCTAAAGTGAAGAATAAAACTGATTATCTATTTGTTTATACATACTAGTTTTATAATCCTTATTTATATCATATTCTATAACTTTTATTTTTTTTTTTACTTTTCACAATTGTGCTTTTCTATACACTCTTCTAACGTCCACATTCGTGTGACCATTTTTTCTATAATCTTTTTGCTGCTGTAAACAGCAGAATTTCCCCACTGTGGGTAAATAAAGGGAGTTTCTATTCTATTCTATTCTATTCTATTCTATTCTATTCTATTCTATTCTATTCTATTCTGTTCCTTTTTATTTATAGATTAACTTTGAATTGGTTTTTTATTTATATTTCTTTAAACTTAATCTATTGTTTTCTTTGTTTTTCTTGCTTTCATGTCCATTTCTAAAATGAAGAACACAACTGATTATTTATTTATTTATGCATATAGTTTTATAATCCTTATTTATATCACATTCTATAACTTAAATGAAAAGTTTACATTTTCCATGATGTATTCCCCCTCATTGGTTTCAGATCATAGTTCCTCAAAAATTAACTTTTTTTTTCTAGTTTTGCCTGAAATAATAAAGTGTGTTCTAACATAAGGTCTCAGGGTCTGACTTCCCCCTCCATAAAACAGCTAATAACTGATCCACCCCTCCCGGCCTCTGCGGGATGGGCGGTCACTGTCTGACTTCTCCCTATAAAGGAGCTATGGACCTGTTGCGCTCTGCAGCCTCCAGACACAAACTCTTTACCTGAACTCGCAAGTTTCGTTTCCTTGTTCTGCTGCATGAATGGATTTTAAAGAGCTTGGAGCTGATTGCTCGGAGGGAGACGCGGAGGACCTGGACAGCGTCAAAGCGCTGACGGAGAAGCTGAAGCTGCAGACGCGCAGACCGTCCTATCTGGAGTGGCAGGAGCGGCTGCAGAGTCGCCCCTGGGCGGACAGACGCACCGCGGACACTGGAGCAGATGTTTCCCTGCCCGTTTGGAAAAAGGAAAACTCTGAGCTGGTTATAGGCAACATCTGCGGCTTTGACAGCATTGATGATGCGTTAGAGTTTCTAAGAAAAGAGCTGGTGAGTTACCTTTAAACCCTTATTTCCCCTAAATTTAAACCCAACATCTGATAAAGTAAGCTCCTGCTTCACCATACTGTAGATAAATATCTCTATTATTGCATGAATGTTTTGGCTCAATTCAACGATGAATGATTGCATGCTTTACTCAGTTTAAACAAACACCTTGTGAAACAATAAAAGCACTGTTTTCTCACAGCCCCCACCTGAAATCATCCCTATGCAAATAACTCAGGGCTGCATATGGGTTTTAAAAGTCATGTTGTGTGGAAACTGTTCTCATTTGTTTAATGTGGCTTTGATAAAACCCCTAAAACTCATAAAGGCCTTTTTGAAAATGAATATACTGAAATATTAGCAGCTCAATTCACGTTTTTATTACAAATTTCCTTTATTAGGTTCAGTTTATAGAGTTATATGTGAGAAAAATAATATTTTCTTGTATGAAACTGTATTGTTAACTACAGGGACACATAAGCTTAATATACCATTAATTACTGGGTTATTAAAGGATGCTTCAAAGCTGAAAAACCCCAGTCTACTCTACACACTTTGTGACAGAGATGAAACCTCGGATTTACAGCATCTCACCCCAGTTTCCCCCTTTTATTTTTCACGGCCCAGAGGGAGATGCAAGATCAGGACAATCGTCTGGCCTGCCAGTTGATCCGCCTGCGCGGCGAGATCCACCGGCTGAAAGTGGAGCAGGTGTGCCACCGCCACAAGGAGATGCTTGACGACGCCACTTTCGAACTGGAGGAGTGTGGGGAGGAGTCGGACCTGCTGTGCGACATCCCCATGAAGGCCGCCTTTGCTCTCTCCACACCTCTAAAACATCTGGGCCTCACCAAGATGAACATCAACTCCAGGCGTTTCTCATTGTGCTGAAAAGTGTGACTTTTTTAACCACACGGTGAAGGATGTTCTCATATCCTCTGTGATTGCGTAAGGCGTGTTATTAGAGTTACTTCCTCTTTAAAGGCTGGTGTTGATCCATGTCAGAGTATGACATGAATGGGGAAGTATCTGTGTCCTCACCTGTAGAAGGCATGCACACCTCTAGTACTGCCAACTTCCTGTCAGTCAGTCTGATTCTGCTTTTCATACCACGGAATCCAGATTTACTGGAAGAATAAAATAGATAATGCACTATATTGCAAAAGAATTGAGGCACAAACCCAAGTCTCTACATTGAAATAGTCCAATCAGCTCCATGGTCACGTTTATAAAATCAAACAATGAGGTAGTGGACAACTTCTACTCATGTTTGTAAAGCAGTTTTGGAGTTTCAGGGAATTCAAGCATGACATTGTGATATAAAAGGTCATTTTTTTTACCTTTTCTACCACATGCCCCAGTCAGTTATTAGATGTATTCGACCAAATTGGAGGTATCTGAAAATACAACAACTTAAAAAAACATGAAATCATAAATTCAGGCACCCAGTGTTCACAAGTTATCAACTGTCTCGTAGAGTCAAATTACATAGAACCATGATTTGTGTGGTCTTCAGATTAGCTTCTCGTCTAAGCTTCAAGAAATATGTTTCGATTGATGACCATGTCTTTTGCCAAGTCCTACATTATGAAGTGTATTGTAGGAGCTTGGAAGCTAAGTGTAAAACTCAGCGCAGCTGAATTGTAGAGATGTAGCCACGAATCACGATGCACTGTCTGTTAAGTCCTCACCCAGAGCTACTGCTTTGTCCTCCAGAGCATGCAGCTTTGCCTAAAGCAGGACCTGTAACATACATCCAAACAACCTTTAGCAACCAAAGCAGAACAAACGTCTCCAGAATCCCCCCTGCTTAATGGAAAGAGCTGCCCTAAAGTTTTGTAGCTCGCTTTTAGGAATCCTGCAGGTTAAATGGAATAGATATATGTGAATCTGGGCTACTCATTGGGTAGCCTTGCAGCCTTGCAGCAAGAAGGTTACAGGTTTGATTTCTCCACTGAATTTGCATGTTCTCCTTGAGCATGCGTGGGTTCTCTCCAGGTACTCCTGCTTCTTCCCACAGTCCAAAAACATGACTGTTAGGTTAATTGGCTTCTCTTAAATCTCCTTAAGTGTGAATTGTTGGTCCTATTTGTCTCTATGTTGCCCTGCAGTAGACTGGCGACCTGTTCAGGGCTCTACCCCGCCTCTCGTCCATAGACAGCTGGAGATAGGCACCACAGCAGGAATAAAGCATAACAGAAAATGAATGGATGCATGGATATGTGAATCTTTATTGAAAATAACCAAGTGAACATAGCATCTGTTCAATCTGGAATGGATGCATATTTGGGCAGATGGGTTGTATAAACCAGATCTAAAAGGTTTGCATTTCTTTAACCAGTAGGTGAGTCTGGAGCAAAATTGCTGGACTGCAGACTGCCATATTGGCAGTGGGGGTATTATGTTGTAGGGCTGTTCTTCAGGAATGAGACTTGGCACAAATGAAAGGACTTCTCCATACTGCAACATAAAACAAATAACATCAAAGTGCACCAGTGTACAGAACGACGTCCAGAAAGGATGTTTAGTACATTCATGAATTTGGTTTAAGGGAACCTGACTGACCTGCAGAGAGGCATTGAACTAAACCCAGCAAACTCAACAAAATGCTATTTGGTTGAATTAGCGTTAGACTGAGAACCAGACTGTTGGGAAAAGTTTTTCTGGAACAGAGGTCAAATATTTAGCTTTTGGGAAGAGATTATTGGTGATTTAAGGCAACTTTATTTTAAACGGGTCGGGGAGGGACTATATCAAAGGCTGTATATCAGGAAAGAGATGTCATTGAAGTTCTTGTGAGTGTGAAGGCAATTATCTGAATACTTTTGGCAACACAATGTATTGTGTTATTTAAATCTGAAGTGTGTGATTAATGACACAGGGTCCTTTGTCAGAGGTGACGTCCCAGATTTGAGCAGCTATTAGTGTTGTGGGAAACTTCAAAAGGAAAGGTAAAATATAATTTTCAAAGCGAAAAAAATGAAATAAAAGGTCAAACTTTGTCTGGACTGGTTGAGGGATGAGGCGCCAAACAAAGTTGGATCCTTTCAGACTGTCACATGTTTTAATGAAATCAGAGAGCTCAGGAGATGTGGGTGTTTGTTGAATCAGATAAAGGAAATGCTTAGCGGGTTTCTATACTAAACAGCTTGTCCTCACGCAGCAGCGCTCTTAAAGCCTTCATCAGACCCCACAGGAAGCAGGAGCTTACGCTCATGATTTTTTTCACCTCCTCTCATGGACCAAAAATATCTTTTGAGGCTCGGCACAGTTGTGACAAGAACCATGAGTCTGTTTTGTTTCCCTGTGGCATGTTGAGATGCTGCAGAGCATTGATTGTATAAAGCTGGCCAAGAGTTGTTTCTTTTTTTTTTAAGCAGAAATTAACACCTTTAACAAACTGGTTTGTTTTATATATACTTAACAAATGCATGACTGAATAAGTTGTATGGTAATTAAAAATCTGAAGGAAATCTTTATAATTTTTTGTTGTTAAACACTGATAGAAATGTATCTATATGTATACATATGAGTATAAATGACAATACTTTGGATGAATGGCTTTCTTTCTTGTACAAAAACATCATCATACATTAACTTTTAAAAATAAGAGGAGTTCTTCAATTATTTTTTAACCCATTTTGAGCACGTTATTTTTCTGACTATAGAGCACACCTCACTATAAGCCGCACTAGGTTTTTGGAAGAAACTATAAACGTACAAATATAGGCCGCACTGGGCTATAAGCCGCAGATATCTACTGAACTGTCCTCCACCAAACCTGTAGGGGGAGCTCTACAAATCGCTCTTTATTTCAGCTCTGCAGGAGTTGAGCCCAGTCTCTTTGTTGGTTCTGCAGCTTTAATGCAGCAAATAAATGTCAAAATGTGTGAAATGTGTGTTCTCAGTCGTACCTGTTGCTACCATGTTCTTGTGCTAAATAAAAATTTGATTTTGATTTCCCCCTCTGGTGGTTAGGAAAATCCACAGAAAAGCCACACCTTCTTGTAATACCGCTTGTAGGGTTGCAAACTCCCTGAAAAAAAAGGGACACCTCATGTGCGTGCCAGCTGATATGATTGCCTTTGCTCCTCCTGGCATGGTGATTTTTTTTTTAGCCCCCCTTTGTGTGTGAAATTATAATTTTTTTAAAACTATTTGACTCAAATCTGCATTGAATTAGATTCATATTGGCAGTGTGCTTTATATTCATTATAGCAGACTTTTTCCACCCAGATATTTGTTTTTTCCCCATTCCTCCCTAAATTTCTGCATCCTTTTATTTGGAGGAGGAGCATCGCTACGCGAAGGTGCACCGCCCCCAAAAGCAGCGTCAGCATTTAAATGACTTCGTTCATCCCCCATACTGCTCTGTTGTCTCCCGCTATCTTCTCCATGAGCAACACTTGTCTCGACCAATGGGAAGAGGGTATTCTGGATCGTTACATATATGATGTCATCTCATTGGTCACAATGCAGGACAGGGCCCGGGAACAAGTTTGACATAAGTTTCGTATCTAATATTCCCTTGTTCTTCATTTTTGCATTAGCCTTTTATTGACAAATGTTTTATTCTCACAGTAATACGGGACAAAGTGCGTTCATTTTCCACTAAATATGGGACGGGTACTTGTTTTTCTAAATACACTGCAAAAACGATCAAGAAATAATATACATTTTTACATTAAGTGTATTTAACCTTAATTCAAATAGGTAAATAAGATGATTTGCCAATGTTTATTATTGAAATAAGATAATTAGATAATATGCTCTTTAAATAAGAAAATTTAATTGTTTTTTCTTATTTTAAATATAAATTGTCTTGTTCCCTTGGCAATGTATCACACTTATCTCTTCAATTCAAGAGAAAAATGCATTTATTTTAAGAAAAAATAACTTCTTTAGATTTGAATTTTTTGCAGTGTACAGAACAATTTAGTTTTTCACGGGACAGGTGGCAACCATAGCCGCATGGTTCAAAGCGTGGGAAAGAAGTAGTGGCTTACACTGCAAAAATGATCTAGAAATAAGTAAAAGTTTCTTAAATTAGGTGTATTTACTCTTAATTTGAGTAGATAAATACGAGTATTCGCCAAAGGAATTGGTATTTATACTCAAATAAGACAATGCAATGTTTTTTTTTCTTATTTTCAATGCAAACTGTCTTGTTCCATCGGGAAACTGTCTCACTTACCTCCTCAACTCATGAAAAATTCCTTTATCTTAAGAAAAACATACTTCTTTAGATTTCAGTGTTTTGCAGTGTATAGTCAGGAAAATACGGTACAAACACCACGAGTAAATAGAGGGATGTTATTTCAGATTCAGGTGAAATTATTTAAGGGGAATTGTATTTACCCATAAACATTCCAGGCCACAGTAAAGTTTTATCTAACCCTGATTTCCTTTTACTTGAAGAAATTAAAGCTAAGTGGAAATATACAGGTGCTGGTCATAAAATTAGAATATCATGAAAAAGTAGATTGATTTCAGTAATTCCATTTAAAAAGTGAAACTTGTATATTATATTCATACATTACATACAAACTCATATATTTCAGATGTTTATTTTGTTTAATTTTGATGATTACAAATGACAACAAATGAAAATCTCAAATTCATCATATCAGAAAATTAGAATATTACTGAAGACCAATAAAAACAAAGGATTTATAGAAATGTTGGCCAACTGAAAAGTATGAACATGAAAAGTATGAGCATGTACAGCACTCAGTATTTAGTTGGGCCTCCTTTGGCCTGTATTACTGCAGCAATGCGGCGTGGCATGGAGTCGATCAGTCTGTGGCACTGCTCAGGTGTTATGATAGCCCAGGTTGCTCTAATAGTGGCTTTTAGCTCTTCTGAATTGTTGGGTCTGGGGTATTGCATCTTCTTCTTCACAATACCCCATAGATTTTCTATGGGGTTAAGGTCAGGAGAGTTTGCTGGCCAATTAAGAACAGGGATACCATGGTCCTTCAACCAGGTACTGGTAGCTTTGGCACTGTGTGCAGGTGCCAAGTCCTGTTGGAAAATGAAATCTGCATCTCCAAAAAGTTGGTCAGCTGCAGGAAGCATGAAGTGCTCTAAAACTTCCTGGTATGTGGCTGCGTTGACCCTGGACCTCAGAAAACACAATGGACCAACACCAGCAGATGACATGGCACCCCAAACCATCACTGACTGTGGAAACTTTACACTGGACTTCAAGCAACGTGGATGAAGTGCCTCTCTTCTTTTCCTCCAGACTCTGGGACCTCGATTTCCAAAGGAAATGCAAAATTTACTTTCATCAGAGAACATGACTTTGGACCACTCACCAGCAGTCCAGTCCTGTTTCTCTTTAGCCCAGGCAAGACGCTTCTGACGCTGTCTGTGGTTCAAGAGTGGCTTGACACAAGGAATGCGACAGCAGAAACCCATGTCTTTCATACGTCTGTGTGTGGTGGTTCTTGAAGCACTCACTCCAGCAGCAGTCCACTCTTTGTGAATCTCCCCCACATTTTTGAATGGGTTTTGTTTCACAATCCTCTCCAGGGTGCGGTTATCTCTCTTGCTTGTACACTTTTTTCGACCACATCTTTTCCTTCCCTTCGCCTCTCTATTAATGTGCTTGGACACTGAGCTCTGTGAACAGCCAGCCTCTTTAGCGATGACCTTTTGTGTCTTGCCCTCCTTGTGCAAGGTGTCGATGGTCGTCTTTTGGACAACTGTCAAGTCAGCAGTCTTCCCCATGATTGTGTAGCCTATAGAACTAGACTGAAAGACCATTTAAAGGCTTTTGCAGGTGGTTTGAGTTAATTAGCTGATTAGAGTGTGGCACCAGGGGCCATCAATTTTGAACCTTTTCACAATATTCTAATTTTCTGATATGATGAATTTGAGATTTTCATTTGTTGTCATTTGTAATCATCAAAATTAAACAAAATAAACATCTGAAATATATGAGTTTGTATGTAATGTATGAATATAATATACAAGTTTCACTTTTTAAATGGAATTACTGAAATCAATCTACTTTTTCATGATATTCTAATTTTATGACCAGCACCTGTATACATTCAATTAAACTTTAGTATGAAACAAATCAGAGATGACTCAAGATTTCTGCACAGTGCCGTATATAACCTAAAGGCTATTTTTGTGAATCTGTTTATAGTGACTGTGGTAATTATCATCACAGGTTCTAACCCATTGTTGTCCCCTATTCTAAAACCACCTCTTGCACATGAGTGTCCTGTTTCTTTCTTTGATGACACCATGCACCATCTGAGCATAAAGCGTGTTTCCTGCAGGGCTGTGCAGAGCCAGACATATTGTCATATACAATTTGTATAAGAAGAATTGGGTGCTGCTAAAAGTTGTAAATGAGAGGGCTTAATAATTGTACTGTGGAGTGCTGCAGGACACATGACCTCATGTGTGTCATCAGAACAGCAAGACATGGAGGTGAAAGAAAATGTGCAAAAGCCCAAGAAAAGAACCTTGAGGGGCTTTTTCTTTACCTTCTCACGCCACTCAAATTTGTGCTCCAATATAATCTCGTTTTACCTTTAACATATCCTGTAAAGCTGATATTATGGTGTAAATAAAGCATTCACAACTACGAGCTGAAGCTGGAATGACGTATGCGCGTAATAAAAGAGGCCTGCACCTGTATCGCAAAGTTAGCTGTAGGAGGACTGGAAAACTTTCTGCAGCATCAAAGTTCGATTGCGTAACAGAAAGTGATTTCCAACCACTTTTGGAAGCAGTGACAAATGTGGAGCAGGAATACCCTGAGATGGCGGCGCCCTCCTACATGAGGATCTCTGCTACTATATTAGTAGTTTTAACCAAAACAGCCAGCTGAAAGTCTCTGAAGCAGATAATGTGAAAATGTAAAACACTCCAAGTACATCTTTGCAGAATTTCACTCTAACGGAAAAAAAGGGAGAAATTCAGGTGGTTTTTATCGCTAGCGAGACATCATCTAAGCTGTGGCAGCCTTCAGAGCACAAATTTCTCTGCATTGTCTGTGATGCTTGGACTGACTTCCTGCCTGTGCAAGCTCTACAGCAGCATATGTTCACCACAAAAAAAGAAACGTGGCCTGCAGCCTGAGGAGTGACAGAAATATAGATGCATGGGCTCAGAGAGAGAGAGAGAGAGACCTTATAAATCTACGTTTAGCAGTATACACCCCAAAAATATATTCATGAACATTTTGATGGGAATATGATCCTTTGACTTATTTGTTTTTTTGGGTTGTGTGACATTAAAGATCAGCTCTGTAAATCTGGATTATGCTCGACTAAGGATATCAAAATAAATAAATCAGGGCAAAAGCTATATTTTGATGTTAAACAAGCCATATTTCTATATATTGAACCTAAAGAAGATTTCAACCCACAACACAGGAAGCAGAGCTGCAACATTTGCTAATGTGTTAGGGCTTTAGAGGTAAATGCAAGCCATTTTATTTGGGTCTTATGGGATTTTTTTTTTAAAGCTGCTTTGACCACATCAGGTGCAAACACCTAACAAAGGTCAGTGGCTCCCACATCTTACAGTACAAACCAAGACAAAAATACGTAAGTGTAGCATCACCGTCATCCCAGAAGGGCCTCCTTCTCTAACTGTATAGGAACATTCTCATCTTTTGGGAAGGGCGCTCTCCTGACCCCCTTTTCTTTTGTCTCAGAGCCCAAACGTTCCTCTTTGCTCTCACACAGCTGCAGATTCAGCACCTGTTAGAGAAGACTGCAGAACAACCCTCAAAGTTTCAACGACAGGAAACTCTGGGTCGCTCTTCTATACTTGTGTGTGTCTGTGTGTGTGTATGTGTGCGTATGGGACACCGCATCAGCTCTGTTTTCAGCCTTAGTTATAAGAGAGGCGGATGATGACATCTTCACACCCAAGCTGTGCTCGTGTAAAAAAGCTCCTCTTACAGCAAACAGCTCCGCAGAATAAATATAAGTCTGAAAAAAACTAGCATTTTAATGGCGGCCTCTGAAAACTGACATTGTTGGACGCTCGAGGAAAGATTTGACTAACTGGTGAGTGGAAAACTTGTGATGTTTCAACCTTAAAAGTTTAAGTTTCAGCATGTAGTTTCTATACAATTCCTTAAGTGTAGCTTTTTCCACTTCTTATTGTATGTGTTTGTAAATATTTGATCAAACAGGAAATGATTTATCAATGATTTCATCTGTTTTGTCGAGTTCTTCATTTTATTTGTTTTTATTTTATCATAAAATCAAAGCCCAAGTTCAATAAAGTGTGTAAGCCCGTTTTCAGTAATTATTACAGAAAATTTCTACCGTTTGCTCCTTATTTATTTTTTGTAGTGCACCATCTAATGTGATTTTTCTGTCAAACAGAACAATTAGCAATACAGTACAACCAAACCCCAATTATTTTCATAGGTCTTTTGAACGACGGAAGGATAAAATAGATGTCAGGTCTTAAATATTTCCTCAACTTGTTGTGTTCATATCTGCTATATCCTGTTAGTATTCAAATGTTTGTTTGGAAAAGGCCTTCAGCTGCTGGTAATAAAATACAAAAAGGCGGATGGTATCCCCTTAGTGGAAAATGCTGACTTGTGTGACTCACCGAGTGTAAACCCAAAAGGTTAGGAGATCCGATAATAAAAGATCTGCTTCTTACTTTGGTGATCCCCCTTGTGATTCATCATTATGACCCCTTAGCAGCAAATGGTGGGTTGTTATTTAGAACTCGGCAGATTTCTCACGGCTTTAAGCCTTTGGGACAAACGTCGCCTGAGATTAGCCTGCTGACCCTTTTTCCATGAGCAGCCAAACAAGGGAATCGAGTGAGCTTGAGAAAGCTGGTCCGTACAGCGCATTAGTGTGAAAATACGAAACACAGCACATGCAGACGACAGATTATACGAGATTAACATTGCTGTGAAGTTCTTAGGGCAAAGCACTCAGGCCTGAAGCGGGATTGGAGGCCATGAACTCATAAGGTGTGCCCAAAGCGTAAAAGTTTGTCGTCTAATTTGAACAAAGTCCGCTTAGTCTCACCAAAAAATGTCCTTTGAATCATCTATATAGATCAATAAAGGATTTTAGTACCTTTTCATTTTTTTAAGAATCCTTTATTAAAAAAGCAAAGAATTTGAGACGTAGCTGTTTAAAGTTTTGTGGGCATTGTTTTCATATCTGAAAAAGTAACATGCGGTTTGGACTTGCAGGAAAGATGGGATGCGCCTGCAGCTCGGATTCAGACAGCGAATGGATCGAGAACTTGGACGAACTTTGTGAACATTGCAACTGTCCCATTCCTCCCGATACGAGCAACCCAGTAAGTGGAGGAACAGCTCATGATTTCACTACAATGTACAAAATGGCCGAATGTGAATGACCACACATGAACTGAAGCCAAAAGGTGTGAACTTTAAATGGGCTCCCACCATTCATTCCGATTGAGTAAACATGATAAAGCACAATCTGTTTCAGGCCTCTTCGGGACAACAGAGCTGCATACCTCACATAGCTGTAAGGGAAGCTGTGTGTGTGATCAAATAGGAGAACACTGGAAAAAATCTAAATCTAGATAAGTAATTTTTTCTTAAAACAAGTGCATTTGTTCTTGAATTGAGGAGGTAAAAGAAACATTTTGCCAATGGAACATGATTATTTACCTTTAAAATAAGAAAACACAATTGCATTGTCTTATTTCAAGCGCATATTATCTAATTATCTTATTTTAAGAGTAAAAATACTCCTTCCATTGGCAAACTATCTCATTTATCTACTCAAATTAAGGGTAAATACACTTAATTTAAGAAATTTTTACTTATTTCCAGATTGTTTTTTCCAGTGTGTGTTGCTGTTTTCTCGTCACGACACAGATGCACCATTAGGTTAGGAATTAAGGAGAAAACCACCTGCGTGTTACACAACATGTAGATGGTTGGTTAGCAGAGAATAAAACAGATTATAATTTACGGTCAGGAACTGGCTAACCGAACCAATCCCTGCATAAACCCTGTGCTGTTTTTCTGTCTTTAATCACATCCTTTTTCTTTGTCTGTCCAGTACACAGATCAGGTGATTCCATACCCATCACATTATACACCCCCAACTTCACCTCTACCAGGTATATCTCCTGCTTCTTTGTTCCCTCTTTTGTTTTACAGTATGTCTGCTTGAAAAAGTAAAGAAAAACACAAAATATCTGTTATTGGATTTAGAACAGGAATGCTTAAATGAGTTCCCTTGATGGTAATCTCTGGAAATGCTCAATCAGATTGTTGACAAAATGATTTGACCTCCATAGTACTATATTTCTTTGGAAAGGAAGACTATACAGCATTTTCCATTAAAGAACAACTTTGTCTTGTTAAGGCAAGTTTCCCTCGTCGTTTTTCTTTAAAATGAAAGTTACGGATCTATCCGACTGCTCGGGTTACCATGTTGACACATGGAAATGTCCGACTGGGTCTTATGGTTGGAATATGAGCTAAAATGTTCTTTATCTGGATCAATTCAAGTATCTTCAAAGAAAAGCGTGCACATTTTAAAACCAGAAATAAATAAATAAAATCAATGTTATATTGAACACATCCAATGCCAGCATCCTGTATTTGTAGAATTCTGTCTCAATTCTGGGAACAAAATCGAACCCTAACCTCTAAAATTATCCGAATAGTCTCTATATAGCAGTCAATCTTTCCGGAAATAGGTGTATTTCCTCTTGTTTTGAGGAGAGAGGTAAGACAATGTGCAAATGGAACATGATTTATGTGCAAAGGAAGTAAAAAGAAAAATTCTGTTATCTTATTTAAAGTACCTAATATCTAATTATTGTATATAAATGGAAAAAAAAATAGTATTACCATTTGCAAATCATCTCAAAGCCTCAAATTAAGGGCGGATACACCTATTTCAAGACATTTTAAACTATATTGTGTAGAGCCTTTCGTTTCAGTAAAAATGCATCATGCATCATTTTAACTAAAGTTCTTATTCTCAATAAAGAAGCTGACATTTCTAAGAGGTTTTATTTCATGCAACGTTGGTCAATGAAGTTTCTGTGTTCATCTCAGCCACTGTAGCAGTGCATAGTTTGTGGAAATAATACGAAGAGAACAGTGTAAACTCATTTCCCTGTAAACTCACCATTGTTACTGGTGTCAATTTATCAGAGATGACTAAAGCTTAGAGTGTTTCTTCTTGCAGATAACATCGGGGTGGCCATTTACAGCTATGAACCCAAACACGAAGGAGACCTGGGCTTTGAAAAGGGAGACAAACTCAAGATCATCAACAAGTGAGCTTCTTTAAACCCACAAATAGAGAAAAATACTCCAACTAAACTCCAAACAGCAATAGAAGTTTAAGCTTCACAGCAGCCAATACTCTATGTTAATGTGTTCCGCTAAAGTCTAACTTGAAGCGTTTTACCATTTTTTCCACACAAAAAATAAGAGTCTCTTGTTGGGGGTTCTAGTGTCATTGTGGTTCTGGATTCCTGCAATGAACTCAAAATGTTTCCGGTGCATTTCTAAAGCAGTGATGCTGTAAAAACATCAGCCAAAATTTCTTGTTACACTCAAAACTAGAAGATGAAATAGCTGCTAAAGAAATGCTAAAGAATCTAAAACAAACCACTGGACTGCAAAGCTCAAAGAAGTAACCCAAACTCTTATAAACTGTCAAAAATTCACATCTTTTGTACAGAAGGGTGTACAAAAGTGCATACGCTCTGGCGGGTTAACGGCTTTCTTGCATAAAAGTCTGACACAGATATACTCGAATCTAAAAAATCCAGATTATGAACTGCAAAAAAATACAATAATATATAAATTACAAAGGTTTATTCCTTTAAAGGTATATTGATAGCACAGTTAAATGAATGGAGATAATTATCATGCACTCTTGGTATTTCATATCTTCAAACAAAAACAGCTTTAATGCATATAGATTATAGGAAGATCTCAGTGCTCCTACCAGATCTGGTGATCATTTTGACAGTATTATATAGTGACTATTGCCTTTGTTTTTCTAACCCACTAACGCTCAGTTGACTGCTGCAATAAAAAGTTAGAATTAGAGTCGCTATTTAATCGCAAACCCAATGTTTACAATAAAAACAAAACGGGGAAAAAACCTTCTTGATCACCATGCCGGTTTAAATTCTACTTTAACCCAAACAAATAGTGCTTAATGCTCTGTCTAATGTACTCCATTAAAGTCAACAACAAAAGAACACATTTGCTGCAGGAAGTTTTATATATATATATATATATATATATATATATATATATATATATATATATATATATATATATATATATATATATATATATATATATATATATATATATATATATATATATATATATATATATATATATATATATATATATATATATATATATATATATATAAATAATAAGAAGAAAATAAAACAAGATCATCCCATGGTATGCAAAAGTTGAAAGAATACAACAACTGAAATTAAATTAAGTGAAAACACAAGAATTTTCATATTTTCAAAAATACATTCGACAGATTTGGATAAACTGGTAAAATAATGCAAACATCTGAATTTAATTGCTATTTAGTTTCGTAGTTAACAACTAAGTAAAAACACAAGAATTCCTTCTTGATGTGAAACTCTTTTATAATTATAATCCATATATGTTATAGAAAAATGTCTTTAATAACATTATGTTTTAGGGAGAACATTTAGTTTTTGTTTCGATGTAAGGTTTAAACAATATGTGCTTATGGGGAGGAATATAAGGCAAAATGTGGCCAGATATGCCTTTTTTCTGTGCTTTAATATCTTTTTACTAGACAAGCATGATGTTGTTTACTATATAATGCAACCATTTATGCCGCAATGGATCCACATATCTATACCATCTAATTCAAAATATTAGTTACTCAGTGTGAAACAGCCAAAGGTAAACATCTCTTCTGTCTTCCAGGGATGATGCAGAGTGGTACCTGGCTGAGTCTCTCACCACAGGCCAGCGGGGCTACATCCCATATAACTTCATTGCTATGACCACAGTGGAGACTGAACCGTACGTCACAGAGGAAGCATAATGTCACAGCTCTCAGCGCCATCTCATCTGGCTTTCTCTCAGCTCACATAATGCATGGCGGGTCTATGAGGGAAAGGAAGTGGCTTTTAGCTCAAAGTGTCTTTTTGCTGCAGGTGGTTCTTCAAGAACATCTCTAGAAACGATGCCATGAGGCTCCTGCTAGCTCCAGGGAACACCCAGGGCTCTTTCTTGATTCGAGAAAGCGAGACCTCCAAAGGTGATTATTTGAATCTTTTGTTACATGAATAGACAAACAAATAATTAAATTTATTGCATTATTTAAATCCACAACATCCTTGGCCTCAGATTTATTATACCCTGCTTCCTGATTTCTTATTTAAATTATTTTTTAAATTAGAGTTTTAGTTTGTTATTGTAGATCCAAATAACCTGTTCAAACTGGGTTTTAACCCTATTTATTTAAGTTCGTTCTCGAGTAGTCAGAATTTCATGTTATCTGCTCTTAAATCATATTTGTTTCAGTTTGTCTGTAGGACCTGGGCTGATATTTTCTCAAAGAACACATCTTAGCTAGGATGCTGTATTTTGATAAAAACAGTCCTTATTACACACTGGAAAAACGATCTACTCTTCTAGATTTCGATTTTTTTTTCAGTGCGAAGTTGGCTCTAATTTATCTAGAGTGGGAGAGAGATGACACAGTTAGACTAACACAACACTGCATTTTAGCAGACGCACTGTGATCTCCAAACAGATAAAATTGTGAAGAGATTTGACAGATTTTTTTTTAACACATCCTCTTTGTCCTTTACTGACCCAATTTCTTTAAATGCTGTTGCATTAATACCCTGATAGAGTCACCTGTATGACTCAAAAAAAAAAAAAAAAAATGTCTTCTTGCACAAAATTATGATAAAATTAGATTCAATTTAAATCTTTTTTTCTACCCAAAGTTTTAACTACGGTAACTGAACTGCTGCAGGTCTGCATGAATGCAAGCTGTAGATAAATGACTTTGATGGGCAGCTTGCAAACACTAGTTGTGTAACTTGACATACACTATATTGCCAAAAGTATTTGCTCACCCATCCAAATTATTGGAATCAGGTGTTCCAATCACTTCCATGGCCACAGGTGTATAAATTCAAGCACCTAGGCATGCAGACTGTTTTTACAAACATTTGTGAAAGAATGGGTCGCTCTCAGGAGCTCAGTGAATTCCAGCGTGGAACTGTGATAGGATGCCACCTGTGCAACAAATCCAGTCGTGAAATTTCCTCGCTCCTAAATATTCCACAGTCAACTGTCAGCTGTATTATAAGAAAATGGAAGTGTTTGGGAACGACAGCAACTCAGCCACGAAGTGGTAGGCCACGTAAACTGACGGAGCGGGGTCAGCGGATGCTGAAGCGCATAGTGCGAAGAGGTCGCCAACTTTCTGCAGAGTCAATCACTACAGACCTCCAAACTTCATGTGGCCTTCAGATTAGCTCAAGAGCAGTGCGCAGAGAGCTTCATGGAATGGGTTTCCATGGTCGAGCAGCTGCATCCAAGCCATACATCACCAAGTGCAATGCAAAGCGTCGGATGCGGTGGTGTAAAGCACGCCGCCACTGGACTCTAGAGCAGTGGAGACGCGTTCTCTGGAGTGACGAATCGCGCTTCTCCATCTGGCAATCTGATGGACGGGTCTGGGTTTGGCGGTTGCCAGGAGAACGGTACTTGTCTGACTGCATTGTGCCAAGTGTAAAGTTTGGTGGAGGGGGGATTATGGTGTGGGGTTGTTTTTCAGGAGCTGGGCTTGGCCCCTTAGTTCCAGTGAAAGGAACTCTGAATGCTTCAGCATACCAAGACATTTTGGACAATTCCATGCTCCCAACTTTGTGGGAACAGTTTGGAGCTGGTCCCTTCCTCTTCCAACATGACTGTGCACCAGTGCACAAAGCAAGGTCCATAAAGACATGGATGACAGAGTCTGGTGTGGATGAACTTGACTGGCCTGCACAGAGTCCTGACCTCAACCCGATAGAACACCTTTGGGATGAATTAGAGCGGAGACTGAGAGCCAGGCCTTCTCGTCCAACATCAGTGTGCGACCTCACAAATGCGCTTCTGGAAGAATGGTCAAAAATTCCCATAAACACACTCCTAAACCTTGTGGACAGCCTTCCCAGAAGAGTTGAAGCTGTTCTAGCTGCAAAGGGTGGACCGACGTCATATTGAACCCTATGGATTAGGAACGGGATGTCACTTAAGCTCATATGTGAGTCAAGGCAGGTGAGCAAATACTTTTGGCAATATAGTGTAGGTTGGCCACAGTTAGCAGGGCTACCCACAAGCAAACCGAATGACACTTTGACAGAGTTTAGAGGCAGCATCAGGAAGTGCTGACAGTCCAAAAACATACTAAAATATATAGTAAAACAATAAATCATTCTATTCTGGTCAAAACCTGTTTTATTAACTTCTCTTTATCTTTAATTCTGCTCCAGGATCATACTCATTATCAGTCCGAGATCTGGACCACAACACGGGGGAAGGCGTGAAGCACTACAGGATTCGTAACATGGACAATGGAGGCTTCTACGTGACGGCCAAGATATCCTTCAACTCTCTGAGGGAGCTGGTCCAGCATTACTCCCGTATGTATGCCATCCTAAGGGATGCATTTCTAATCACTGTGGAGTTCAGCATGTTGATTTGTCTGCGTGCTTTCCAGGTGAAGCAGATGGATTGTGCACAGTCCTTGTGAAGCCCTGTCAGTCCAGGGCGCCACAGAAACCCTGGTGGCAGGACGAGTGGGAGATTCCACGGGAGTCCCTGAAGCTGGAGCGCAGGCTGGGGGCCGGACAGTTTGGAGAAGTCTGGATGGGTAAGCTTCTTTTTTTTCTTTTTTTCTTTTCCATCTGCATGATATTTAATGTGTGCACTCAGGCAGATACATCACATGTCTGGTTGGGAGCTAGACTGTAAGCCTGCCAGGAGTCCGATTTTCTGCAGTGTGTGCAGAAGAGTTTCCTCAGGCTTGGCTCTAATTGTAGGCTTGTTTGAGCTGCTTAACGAAAGAGTTATGTGTGGTATTAACCCTGACATGCATCACTGCTCCAAAAACTCATACCTAGCTTTTTGATGAGCTAATAGATCTTTAAGATTTGTGTCCTAACAACACTTTAAATCAGATGCTGCAGCATTAAATTACGCTACAGTGGCTAAACGTTTTGATTACAAGCACATTGGTTAGGCCACAACCTCATTATCATTCAATTAAAGGGGTAATTTCCTCTCCATTTTCCATCCTCACTCGCCAGCACCGTTTAACCTCCCAAACACACCACTGAACAAAAGCTAAACATTACTAACCAAAAGAACTGGCCCTCATTTCTCAGTGCTATTCTGTTCTCAATACTGTCCTGATGAAATCTGGGCTCTCTGTTTGTTTTTTCCCCACTGATCCAAAAGAAATGTTTCCTGAAGCCAGTGAACAGTAGAGCCTCTATATACCTTTGCTGAACTTTTTCACATTTCATCATTCGCTGGAATTTTTCTCATTAAACAGTTTACTTAAAAATGCAGATCTCAAAATATATAGAAGATAGTACCTTCCATTTGTTCTTACTTGACTAGATTTTAAGCATTTTGTAGAGATACAGTGAACTAAAATGTTTAATATATTACCAGAGCAACACAAGGCAATGCATCGTTGTGACACTTGAAGTAAAATCAGATTTGGTTTTCATTAACCTCTTATAAATATGAACCAGGAGACCCTTTTGACCTCTTTATCTCTACACAAAAAGTGCTGCCACTTGCCTTCAGAAGGCAACACAGTAAACACAGTGTTGGTGGAATCATGCTGTGGGGCAACATTTTCTTCAGAATGGGTATAGAGGTTGGTCAGATTTCATGGGCAAATGGGTGGAAATAATTACCAGTCAATCCTGAAAGATAGAGGTTAACCAGGCAATCAGAGATACATTCTAACCATACAGACAGAACTAAAACGCACTGGTTAGATCAGAAGATAATCATTGGTTAAGATGTCCTTAAACTCAATATCTAATTAAACCTTTTGAGTCACATGAGTAACATTTCTCTAAATGCATCAAGCATGCTTGTAGAGAGCTAATATTGACACCTCTTTTAGCAATGAAAAGAGATTATAATGATGGATAAACCAGGGGGATTCTTATGACATGAAAATTCCATTCCAAATTTAAGATTTCAATTTGTGAACCATTTTCCGTCTGCTTTAGGATTATACATAAGAAGACCATCTGATAAAGGAATCTAAATAAAAATCATAACAGCTTAAGGTTAAAACATTAGCAAAATGTAAAAGAAAAGAAAAGAAAAGAAAAGGTTTAAGGAGTATTAAGACTGGCACTGGATATGATAACCATCACCATTATGAAAATAGACAAAGGAATGTTTTCATTAGGAGATAAGATTTGTTTCCTCATCGCTATACGCTTCATGCGTGGCGTGTTGCAAAGCGTTTCATGTCAAAGGAAGAACAAACTGGTTGGTTATGGCTTTGATGGAGCTCCACTTAGTGACAGTTATTTTTCCAGAGAGCCTTTCTTCAGGACAATTATGTGCAGTTATTTTTAGAACAACACATAGTTAAACAAAGCAACAGTGGTTTACAGTCCTTATGTGATCCTGTGCTTTTGGTTGCAAATATGTTAGTTAGCATTAACACCGGTGAAAAATATATTAGGGATGATCCAAGGAAATATTAAGGTAAAAATAGCTTTATTCTCTTATATTATTGACTTATTGATTGATAGACCTAATTGATCTCACAGTGGAGAAATTTAAATACAATAGTCAAAAAGGTGCCAAAGGAAAAAGGTGCATGGGTCATATACAGTATGTACTGTGCGTATATATATATTAAATGGGTTTTTATATTAATAGGTATTTATATATATAGTTATTGCACTGGATATTAAATATAAAACAGGTTATTGCACAGGGTATTAAACAGTGTTTGCACTTTAGTAATATTACATCTATAGTAGACTTATATGTATGTTTGTACCTTAAAGGGTAGAGATATAGAAATAGATCATGTTTAAAATACATTTTTATATATCTAAAGTATAAAATATATGAACAATTCAATATTATGTTACTTTATTTCCTAATTAAACATAAAATGTTTCCATATTCAATGAGATTTATTAGATCATGAGGTAAATTCTGGTTTTCTCACCTTGTTATCAATCAGAAATTTTGAAAAGAAAGTGAAATATTCTTGAGAAAAGCCCCAATGACAAAGTGGTTTAAGTCTTACTGCTGCGCTTCCATCAGGAAGAGCTTCCCACATAAAGACTTTGCCAAGTCTATGAGCAAATCCTACTGACTAGCTATGGGAGCCCCTGAATAAGGGAACAGCCGAAAAGACCCGTCATATAAATGTTTTTTAACAAAAATACCGGCAGGTACAAAGCTGGGACAGTAAATGTCGTATTAATAAAATGTAAACAGTGCGGCAACAAATTCTGTTTGAGAATTCCAAACAGAATTACTGGCTGTTATGTTTTTCCTCTTGTTTTGCTTTTTTAAGTTTTCATTTCAGTTAGAAACGTTGTCTTAGAACGTGCTCTTTAAATTAATTTTAGTTCGTCCCACTTTGTGAGGCTCAGCTTATGAAATACACATATATTTATATTTATGTGTGATACATTTTGGGGACTTTCAGATGCTTGTGGGGATCTGTCAACTGGTCCCTTACGTTTAGGTTAGGTATATTGGTAATGGTTAGGGTAAGGTTGAGGGTCTGGGTTAGGCCATAGTATAGCTGCACATGACATATACGTGTTTTATGATATCTATTTTGTGTGTGTATGTCATCGTCTGTGCAGATTTGTAACAGAAAACAAAATAAGAAATGCTATTAAAAAAAACTACTTGTTATTTTATCGGGCTGAACACCTTCAGAGATGCTGTTAGCTGCTAAGTTTAATTTTGCCGATATAGATCACTGCAGTGTATGTTGTGTAGAAATGTTCCAGTTTGCTCAGCACTTTCCTGTAATTCGTACGGGTAGAAACATCTTTTACCGGATGTTGACACTGAAAATATGAAAAGAAAATGGATTCACCAGATTAAAAAAAAAATCACTAAAGCATAGGAAATTTCGTTTAAAAAGGAAAATTTACATAACTTAACCTGAAGTTATTCCTAAATGTGCATTTTTGAAAACTATTTTTTTTTTTTTTAACTCTGAAGTTCAAGACTTTTTATGGCTGGACTCTTAACATTCCTTTTGTAAACTGTGCTACAGGAAATATGCAGAAAATGTGCAAAAATATAATGGCCAAATATAAAGCTGATAATTCCAAATTAAATCAAGACAATTCATAATTATTTTTGCTCTTCCTCTTCTCTATGGCACACCTGACTGAGGCATAAACAGGACCTAAGATGGTGTCAAACAGCAAAATGTTTTCACATCATAACACTGGACTACTTTATGACAACAATTGTATAAATATTTATATTAAATTAATCTCCTACGTGGTTCAGGCTGTATTATATATATTTTTTTTACCATCAATAAAAAATCTGCATAGGTTACATTAATCAGGATGTGAGTAGGCATGCCGAAACCTGCAGTTATTGCATACAAATATGTAAATGTATATTTTAGCAAGAGGTGTCATTTGCATCTAAATGAGATCTAACCAGAAGTGAAGTTTATGGAAGAGGCGTAAAATCTTCTAAATGTGAGGTATATACATATATACACTGGAGTTATTGCACTGGATTTATTTTTGAATGCCTGTATAGGAATTATGTAATTATGATGTTTAAACTTCCCTAAAATACAATACTTTACTGTTTTTTTTTTTAAATAAAATATATATAATATATAAGTTTTAGTTTAAAATCGAGTGATAGATTTCAAGTTTCTCTTTGATGTTGTCTTCTTTATAGAGTGAAAAAGTCATGACAAACTGATATTTATGGGGTACCAAGTATTGCTATCTGCTGTTGTAGCTGGGCTGAAATTGGTGCTTGGTTCCAGGTACTTAGAGATTCACTTCCATACAAAAAGCCCATATTCTTATCTTCAGCGACCACAGTATACATGTCAGATTAAATAATACTACGTATACTTCAGCGATAGTATCAAGGTGGTTTAGTGTATCTCTTATACTTTATCCGTTGGTTGTGCTGTTCTTTTTTACATCTCTTTTTAAAGGTGATGAAGCAGACTGAAAACTTCCTTTTATTTCCTCTTTCTTTCATCTTTTCTCCTTTTTCCTGTTTTTCCTTTCTTGTTCTACTTCCATTGCATTGTTCATATAATCTGTAATACTCCCTGCATAAATTTATAAAAAAGCTATTTATATGCATAAATCAAGCTCTCTGGCAATAGCCGTACTGCTCTAATTGTGAAAGCAAAATCTGTTGGGCTGTTATTGTAGATCTATATATATATATATATATATATATATATATATATATATATATATATATATATATATATATATATATATATATATATATATATATATATATATATATATACACACATATATATGTATATTTTTTTATTAAGATTTGTTTTTAATTGTAGGATTAAAGCAATCTATTCTTTAACTTTTTTCTAGCAACTTCAACAACTCATTGTTATTTTCTAGGCATCTACAACAACGACAGGAAAGTGGCCATAAAGAATCTAAAGATGGGCACCATGTCAGTGGAAGCTTTCATGGCGGAGGCCAATATGATGAAAAACCTGCAGCATCCTCGACTCGTCCGTCTCTTCGCTGTCGTTACCCAGGAGCCTATATACATCGTCACAGAGTACATGGAAAATGGTAGGTCCTCTCATTAGCATTATCTGAGCGAGAGAGAGAGAGAGAGAGAGAGAGAAAAACGTCCCAGTGTAGTCATGGGAGCTTTTTCTTTTAAAAGAAAAAAAACGTTTAGTCGACTGAAATATGTTTCAGCTTGTCAGGATTAATCACCTCCTTAATCTCCTGCCTCGTTACGGTAAAGAAAGGATGGAATGGAAGAATGAGCTTAAATGGAAAACAGAGGAGCGGTGTTAGCCCGGTGTCATAGATGTTCAGGATTAAACATGTTGATCTGTTATCAGACTTTGGGTGGGAACATGTTTGAACAAAAGACCAAGTAGCTCTGTGGATTTCGACCCTTTAATGACTCAATGTTTTCATCTCAACCCTCCACTCCAGTCATTCTGTCTAATCCACTTAATGTCAGTTGAGCTTTTTTGTTTATTTGTTTGTGAATGGAGTAACATATAGTGTAAATGTATGAGTATAATCATCACATGTGATAAGGAAGGAAAGCTGGGATGTGAGCAGGGACCCTGAGTTTGTTTATGCAGTTTTTTTTAGCCTCTCCTCATTAGGCTCTCTTGTGTTCGCTGCCTAGGTGTTAAAATGCAACAAAGCAAGCATGAACTTTCCCTTCTTCTTTTCCGGACCGGTTCTGGAAAGTCAGATGTGTTTACATTTTGAGAGGATGTTTCTAAGAAGAAAGGTCTTCATCATGCTCTGGTCCCATAAACAAACCTGCTGTAGATACTAGGGCTGCTGCATGGTCCGCATCCTCTCCATTTATCTTACCTCATTCCCTTCTGGTCACATATAGACACTATGAACCAAATGTGAATTATGAAAACTGATAGAATGAGGATGAAAGCAGTCGGCACAGGGGTGAGAGTTTCATATGAATCTGAATTCAGATGAGAGCAATCCCAGATGGTTTTTCCACCAAAACCTCAAAACTCTTTGTCATTTTTTTTATTGTGAGGGACAGCACCAACATGCACTAGGAGATCCCAAACACAACGACAGCCTTAGAGCTGAAGTGAAAGGAGTGCCTTTGTGTTATCATTTGTGAACCAGCAGTGTCCACATCAGTCAAGCTCTTTGTTCAGGATTCATGTATGGACAATTGTCTCTACTGCACACTAGGTATGCATCTTTTCACATGTTTGTCCTGATTTTTTTTTCATTATTGAAGAAAACAAAGAGTGAACATAGCAGGCAGGTAACCAGGGCTTTTCTTTGTGGCCTCGACAAAGAGAGTAGCTCTAAGACTTCAAAAGCAACCTTTCAGACTTCGGCAGAGGAGTAAAAAACTCGTCTTTCCTGGTGAAGTCACTTTTCTCAAAGTATTTCCTTTGGTCTAAATTAACCGTCCTCCGTATGGGGATATTGTTCATATCAACTTGGCAGATTATAGTGTACTTCCTCAAAGTGTTGTCTTTGCCGAATTTAGCTGCTATTTTGGTCCCACTCAGTTTATTTATGTCAGTGAGGAATTATGACGTCCAAAATGTAATTTGTCTTTCCAATGCGCTATCTATTTTTACTGCTTTCCATTTAGTAGAAGCTTTTCCCATGGACTTTTTTGTGTGGCTTTTGATATGAAGTAGGACATTTAAAGTGTTTATTAATGTTTCTGATCTGTTAACTACACACATAACTGGAACAAATTTAAAAACAAAATTGCTTGCATGCATTGTTCATGGTGGCACTCAGAGAATCATTAAAGCGATCAGAACAAGGAACATTTATGACCAAATGTTGTGTTAAATTATATATTTATATATTTCATTATCCTTTTGATTAAGTCTGAACTGCTATAAAATGAGCAGATGGCCTTCTTGTGGAAAATCTGTGAAATAAACTACATTCCATCAGTTTATTTGTATCTTTTGGAAAGTAAGGGAAAGGTTTCTTACGTATTTTTTATGGAATGTAAAATTGACAATCCTCTGCCCAACATGTGTCAACGTTTTTTATATTCTAATTTTTAAGAACGGTGTAAATATATATATGTACACATTTCATATATTAATTTTTCATTTTAAATGTTTTTTCAATTGTTCGACAAATTAGTAGTATATTTAATATTTGGTAAATATTCCATTAAATTAAAGACATATTTCAAATGTTTTACATAAATAAGTGAATGATAAATTAACTTTCATGGTAATTTTATTTAATTCAGTCACATTTATGTCTTTCATTCTATATTTTTGGCCCTCCACATACCTCAGGGACCACATCCCAATGATCTTGTGTCGCCTCCCCATTTGGTTGCCACCCCATTTGTTCACTAACGGGGAGACTAACCTCCCCATTTTGTAAATCTTTTTGAAAATCAAAGTGGGAGGGAATCCCTACTCTAAAATACGATTGCAAAGAAATGTATCTCTATTGCCTGTCCCATTGTTAGTATTTTTTTTTTCTAAAGATTTCAGACTAAGATCCTGGACAAGCCCCCAAATAATTTACAATCTAGCTCCAAGGACGGGTTTTTGTCATATCACAGACACATTCTGAAATAAAAACCTCTAAGCTGGTATAACACATTTTTATCAGATCAATGTTTATGTATTGTAAATTAAATCATTTGGTCTGATCTCAAATTACATGTCTTCTCTAGCTCAAAGTAAAAAAAAAAAAAAAAAATGATCAGAATCAAAGAAATGCTTTAACAACAAATTACACCAGAAAATCAGGGCAGTTGTACTGATGGAAACTTATATGAGAAAGGATTTTGTTACTCATAAAAAAAAAAAAAAAAATGAAAAATTACGTAACTGAGAGGCAAGACTGCCTTAAAGATATCTGAGGAAGGAGATGGAGTTAAGTTGTCGGCTACACTTTGTTTTAAAAGAAAAACATACAGGTGCTTGTTTTTCAATAAAGCATAAAAAGTGATCATATCCACACTAGATAAATTTATAATATGGAAGGTAAGAATAAATTAGAAGCTTAAACAGGCAGTTTGGAGTGTAACATAAGAATAATATTATGAAGGAATGGCTTTTGTTTAGCAATACAAAAAAATCTGCAAAAAATAAAATACTGCCTTTTAATCTAATTTAACCTTAATTCTAGAAGCAAATGTCATATGAGAGCTGAAATCTGCATCCATAATAACACTTTGAGCCACAGCTAAATGTTTTAGTGTTATCAAGTGTTATCAGGTTTTGAATGTGCAAATATAGTTACATTATTTATTTATAAATATATTGTGTATATTGTTCGCAACCCTGTTGACAGATATTATGTTTATGCATAGGTTTACAAGGGTTAACAGATTGATTTGTTTGCAGGAAGCTTGGTGGACTTCCTGAAAACGCAGGAGGGAAGCAATTTAACCACGAACACACTGATAGACATGTCATCACAGGTGAGATACCTTTATAGTAATCTTTTGTTCTTTCATTATAAGCTCCTTCCACCTAATTTACCAATTTTCAACTAATTTGTACTTCTATTTCCTTGCTCTCAGCATGACCCTGAGCAATAAATCAGCTACCATATTAATGAGGCTTAAACTCCTAATCTTGTAATACCTGCAGATTTGGGTGGATATGTGTGCAGAGAGGCATGCATGTAGTCGTTGTTGCATGTCTAGACACTGTAGCACAAATAAAACTAATGAACAGGATTTGAAGAGGACAAACTGCCAGAATCGTAACTTTATAATTTTTCTGGTGTTGTTTTCTGCAAGATGGCCCCCAGAAATTGTTCTATGATGACAGAACCTTAAACTATGGTGTAGATTAGTTTCTCTGGATCTCTTTATACTTAATTTGTGGACAGAGCGGGAACCATTTGAGAAAAAAAGGGTTATTCTCATAAGGATATCTGATATTTTCAGTAAATTAGATGTTTAAATAGGAAGGACTTCCTTACATTGAAAGTTACAATATTATAACAAAGCTCTATCTAAACCTGTGAACAGGATGTGTGCTTCAAGGTGCGGGAAGAGTTTCAAATTTAGGCAAGTTGTTCAACCGCACTGACCAGACTTAATACTGACTTAAGCTAGTTTTTAAAAAAACAACTCAATAATGAATGAAATTCAAAAGCATTTTTTTCTAAATGCAGGATAGATCCTGCAAAAAATATAAAAAAATAAGATTTATGTCTACTTTCTAAACTGTTTCTTGTCAGTGAAAAACCTCGATTTTATGGGGTATGGTGGGTGTGGGAATGACAAAATCAACCACAGGAAGACAGCCTGAAGTTTCAAAGTCATACAAAGCGAGCAGCTCTTCATCAGATGAAGAAACGTTTCTGAGACGTGTCACAACTCGGTGAAAAGATCTGCGCTTCATGCAGAGCGGTGTGGTGAAGATTTACAGCGAAGAATGCTTTCATGCCAGCCCATCATACACGGCTTCTTAGCATTATGTGGTGGTGGATCATATACTTATACTTAGAGGAGAACCTTGAACATTTTTTTTTAGTAATAGGCAGACTATAGGAGTATAAAAAAGATATTCCTGGAATATTTAAAAAAAACTAACTGCCGTCTCTTTTTAAACATGAAATTAGTTGTTGTCATTTACATATACAATATATCCTGAATACGTGCTCTAGATCTAGCTAAAGTAGTTTGTAAGATGGAAAGTAAAAGGATAAATTATTATTTTAACACTTGAACAGTGCATATTTATTTCATGAATCCATACTGTGCTGTTTGACTTTTCTGTTGGGATCTGCGTCCACCAGCTTTGTTCTTCCAGTAATTTTTATTATGGAAATTTTTATCATTTCTCTTAACAAAATTGCTCAAGCTGAGTCAAACTGGGTGCTGATGGCTCATCTATCTGTCAGCCTGACTAAGAACTTGAGATCTCTACCGCTCCTCTACTGATCATGCTCTTTTATCTTTCACTCTGATGAATGTTTCTTCTTGCCGACCGGTTGCTTTGGGTGGATGGAAATTTCTCTGAAGGTTTGAATTAGTGTCATACTCTTTAAGGTTTTAGATGGTAAAAGTACAAAATTATTCAACTTCTGCAGGATTTTGGTTGCTTTAGATTTCACTTTGATGTGTCAGTGTAAAGATGGCTGAACAATCCGTGTATCATTCGTTCTTTCTATTTTCAATTGCCAATCAAAAAACAAAAAATAAAAAATTGACTGGTTATTTTGTTTTTTGTTTTTTATCGTTAAACCAAAAACGAAAAAAGGATTGCTTTTTCATATTTCAATTCTAAGCTCAGATCAAGAATACGAAGTGGAAAAACGGACAGCAACGCAGAATTTGATTTTAATATTTAATCGGTACAGTTTACATGACCCGGAAGTTTGGTGGAGCGTTAGCTAAAAAAACAATTGGCTTACTCCCACCACGTTCGATCAAACTGCACCAGATAAGGCAGTCGGACCTATCAGCCATGGGCAGTTACGTGTTATTTCGAGGATCCAAGCGTGTGACTCTTGAGGAGGACATGACAACGGAGAAAATTTGCAGGATTTTCCAGGTATAACTTTTTTCTTGAAACTTTTCTGTGCACTGTACTTTTAACTAGCAACAACAAACAGCTTCTCGATCAACATAGTGTGTGGTTCTAGCGTCGCCATGGTAGCTACTTCATTACCCCAACTGCTGCGCAAAGAGCTATTTCCGGGTCACGTAAACTGTACTGATTAAATATTAAAAACAAATTCTGCGTTGCTGTCCGTTTTTCCATTTCGTATTCTTGATCTGAGCTTAGAATTGATATATGAAAAACAAATCCTTTTTTCGTTTTTGGTTTAACCATAAAAAACAAATAACAAAATAACCAGTCAATTTTTTATTTTTTGTTTTTTGATTGGCAATTGAAAATAGAAAGAACGAATGATACACGGATTCTGAACACGCCACACGTTTTAGATTAAGAACATTTCTTAAAGCATGTACCTTCCTCCTTCTATGTCTAAAATTTCCTAATACAATGGGAATTTTAAATGGAAAAAAAAAAAGTAAAAACGTACATCTCAAATACCTGAGGAGGACACTTCCTAACCCTGACACATATGTGTCACATTCCAGTTTCTGATATACACATTTTTCCCCAGACCACTCCTCACAGTATAAAAACCGGATAAACAGGCAAGTCTCTATGGGCTGGGAAGTGTTGGGAAATTAAAAGAAAAGAAGAAAACTTTAATCAGAGGCCTCATAAAAACACACTTCTGTCATCAGACGTAGTAGAATTGAATCAGAGGTCCAATTATTTTTAATGAGTCATGTAGTCTGTGACTAAAGCAGAAACTCAGCAACTGACTAGATGGATCTAAAGCAATACTGCAGGTTTTTTTCTATTAGACTGTGTGAAAGCAGCTTCACACCTGGGTGGAGCTCGACATTGCAGAACAGAGGTGAAAGGGAGCAAACAGGTGACCTGGGGAAGTGGTAAACTCCCTGGTTTTGGTTCATGCAACCAGAAGCAGTGCCAACAAACACACATGTCCTCTACAGATACTTAAGTCAAGTTTTAACACAGACAATCACACTCTCCTCAGTCATGTATAATGATGTACTGCTCTCTACAGGTGGCTGACGGCATGGCGTTTATCGAGCGGAGGAATTATATTCATCGAGACCTGCGGGCTGCCAACATTCTAGTTTCCCAAGAGCTCATCTGTAAGATTGCAGATTTTGGCCTTGCAAGATTGATAGAGGACAATGAATACACAGCTAGAGAAGGTAGGGAGACTGTCAAGACCTAACCTTTCACCTTTTGACATTTGTTTGCTTTTATTTTGCTAAAAATTTAGATTTTTTTTTTCTTATTTTATCCACAGGTGCAAAGTTCCCTATTAAATGGACCGCACCAGAAGCTATAAACTATGGCACCTTCTCCATAAAATCTGATGTGTGGTCGTTTGGGATTCTCCTCACAGAAATAGTGACATATGGACGTATTCCATATCCAGGTAGATAACTCTGACAAATATATTATACCTGATTGTTTTTTTCCCTTTTTTTCTTTATTTTTGTTATGATTTGTCTTCATTAACGGGCAAAGGAAACACCATACACAGGAAACTAACCCCGATGATGCAAAGAAAATACCCCCAGTTATTGTCTATCGATCACATAATGTAATTTAACCAGAATTAATGATTTGCATAAATAAATACATGAATTTCCTTTAAACGTACTGTTTTTTTAACCTAAATGTTTATTTTTTATTGATAATTTTTCTGTACTTGCCAGTTATTAGGTTTTAACATAATACGTTTTTTGTCTATCAGCACTGATATGATCAATATATACCTAAAACAACTGGAAAGCTCAAAGAAATTGGTGTAGATGAGAGAGAAAGTGAAGATTTGCACAGTTAGTCTTAGAAGTAATTTTTAAACAGATACAAATGTGTAAAAATCTAAAATGTGCACCTGTCCAGATGAACAACCTAAATGCCTTTTTGAGAAAAAGTTTTTGGTCAAACATTATGAAGAAGCAGCTATTGGGCCACAATAATAAGATGAACGCTGAGATGAAACATGGTGGAGGTGGAATCATGCTAAGGATGCTCAAATAGGTTTCCATACCATGAATCTTCAGCCTCTATTGGGTAGATTTAGTACATATATCCAATACTGGTTGATGATTGCAAGCAATATATATTTATTTAGTTAAGCACATGCATCATTTTGACTTTAGAAAAACTATGCAATAAATGTAAACTACATTTATGCTTCATTTTGTTTCACTTACTCTGAGCTTTCTTTTGCTAAGATTAGCATCTTCAGATGATGAAACTGTTACTTCCTTTTTTTGAAAAGGAAATAACATTAAGTCACTTTCTAAATTGTGTAAGATCTAATGTCTTGAGGTCTTAAGTTTTATGCAAAAAAAAAAATGCTTTAAAATGTGTCCTACTTATGCACACCACAATTTTCCACAAAGAGAAACAGGAGGTTGCAAGAATCTTATTGGGTTTTAATGTTTAGTTTTCAAATATTCACTAAATGTGACAAATCCCCCTAAATGTGTTCAGGTGGATATAAAAAAAAAATAAACAACCTTTTATTGATTTATATAATAATTTTGCTTCCTGTCCAGGTATGTCCAACCCAGAGGTGATCCAGAACTTGGAGCGGGGATACAGAATGCCAAAGCCAGAAGACTGTCCAGATGAGCTTTATGAAATTATGCATGAGTGCTGGAGGGAGAAACCAGAGGAAAGACCCACATTCGACTACCTGAAGCACATCCTGGAAGATTTCTTCACTGCCACCGAGAGGCAGTACCAGGAATAGCTAAAGAGCAGAGAAAAAAGACACAAATAGACACATATATGTCTAACCAAACTAACAGCACAGCTGTTTACAGTTGGGATGTTGGCTTTTTAACTATTTGCTAAAAATTTTAAGAGTAGAAAGTCGGATAATCAACTTAAAAGTTTTTTTTTTATTATTATTTTATTTCAACATCAAACTAACCTTGAACACATTTGCAATAATTTCTGATGGAAATGTGCAACTAGGAGAGAAGCACATTATGATTCTGCTGAAGGAACGGCTGCTTTCCTGGTGCTTTTATAATAACATGTATATAACTGCTTTTTACCTCTGCAACATAACATTTAAAATTTAAGTAACAAGCTTTTTGCTGTGTATTGTTGCTTAAAATGAACCACAGTTGGAGAGCATATTGGATACAAAGAAGGTATTTTATTGATGTTTTTTATCATTCAGAATGAATTTCTATTGTATAAATAATGAAAGATGTCTTTCTGAAAGTGTAGTGATTTGTGTGCAATTTAAACAGTTTTACAATGATTGTAAATACATCATTATGCATTGTCTGCTTTTCCTTTTAGCTAAAATTCATATATTTATCTACCCATGCCAATCTTTAGCTAACCCAAATGCAATATTTAGATTTAAAATCACTTAAAAATCCATCCATATCAAGACAGATGTTGTTTAAAACAACAGAAGTTACAACACATACAAGCAAATAAGTTTAAAAAATAGCATTGATTTCAGTGTTGTAAATAGTCTCTAAAATTACCATAAACCCCTTAGCAATTATTATACTTCTGCAACATTATATGAGTTTTAAAATCAACATTTAAGAAAGAGTTTGATGTACAACTAACATTAATAATAATAAATGTTTCATTGTGAAATATTTTTAATATTACTGCTAAATAAAGTTTACTATAAGTTACATGCACCTCTATGCTGCTATAAATATCTACTGTAATTGTTGTAATTGTTACCCAACCAAAATGAAAAGGTGCAGAATATAGTGACAGCATAAAAGATGCAAAGCTACTACTAGTTACTACTTGCCATTAAAGTTGGCTAAATTCCACAGTGTTTAAATTGCTTCAGAATAAGTAATAATAGTGATATAAAAGCTATTTTTTTAAACTTTGTTTTTGTCAGAGGTTTACATAGTTATTCCTTTCAGGTTGTTTGGAAGTTTTTAGAGGAACAAATGCAGAGACGGAAGCTGATGTGGTTTCTTGCACATTTAATGAAAAAACATACAAATATAAAATCCAAACTCCAGAACTGATCGACTAGGAAAACTCAAGACATTAGGGAGGAATAAAGCAAAAGATTGACGAGGATCCAGCAAAGAGTAACTGAACAGGAGGTGTATATATATGGGAGACAGAGACAACATAAACACAAGTCCACATAGGACACAATTATGACAATTCATTGTTTGTTGTCTTCTCTCATGGCTTACTCTTCATTTAAAAGCCATTTATTCCCCTACTCGGTACAGAGCTATTTAGTCATGAATAGGATATTTCCATTAAGTCAGAGGCATATTTATTTTAGCGTGTGAACCTCTGACAGAGGAAATTATCTAAGTGTTTGTTTATAAACTACTTTCATACCTGCTCAAAGTGCTGCAGAAAGAAACCCATGCCATTAAAAGAAATATAATTACATCATATCAGTATGTCAAAGCAACCATTTTAGAGAAGCAAAATAATAGGTTGAAGTTTTGACTGTTTTAAAGCTAAAGTCAAGAGGTCCCATGAATTTTAAGTATGTAATGAAAGAGTTTTTTTCTAATATCAATAGTTGTTGGATTTTAAGGTTTAATTTGCAAATGTAAAATCCCTGATTCTCTAAAAGTTGAAAGAAGGAAGTAGGAAGCAGATTTCTATTGGAGGACATTCCTTATAGGTACGTATGTGAGTAGGAATATGAATACAGGGAGGTTTGTGGTGATATCGTGGGGCGGCTCTAGACAGGGGCCAACGGGGGCCAGTGCCCCTGTAGATCATGTCCTTGCCCCTGCTATGGCCCCTGTACCTAAGACATAATACTCAAAGAAATTCTAATGATGATATGTGCTGGAACAGACATAGTTACTGATAGCTCCTTTGGTTCTATTTCTATTTTTTTCTTTACAAATTCTGTTTTTTCTAATTATTTAAAAGCAATAAGGTGATAGCTTCACTGGTATTGAGATAGAATCCCTGTTTTCTCCTGCTAAATGTTTTTTCAAAACAAATTGCTTACATTTTTATAGCTGAATTTATCAGTTTTTCTTGAGTTTTAATTCAGATTTTATAGAAAACCGTAATTTTACCTTAAATTATGTCAAAAATATGTTAAATTCATAAATTCTGAATGTACCGTATATTGAGCTAATAAGGCATAGAATTTTAATTAAACCTGACTGAATAAAAATTTCAGTTCATGCAGCTATCTTAATATCCCTTGCCCTGTTTTTTATTTCATGCGTTTCTGTGCACCCATGAAAACAGGCCCCCTCCTGGCCCCCCGATACATTTGGTTTAGAACCGCCACTGGGCTTGTCACTATTAATTCAAACGTATTTTTCTGCTTTTAGTTAATTTTATGCAGATTTCATATCAGACACTGAGAGTGATATCGAACATAGATATCTAATTTCATTTGTACATGAAAAAAGAACAAATAGTTGTAGCAAAATATATATTATAGTTGTTTGCTTCATCATATTGACCCAAATGTTCCACATTTGCAACGGGATTGATCTCTTTAAGATTGAAGGGTGGTAGAATGATCCTTTAATCCCAAATTAGTCAAAAAAACTTTGAAAAATATTAAAATTCTAATTTATTTAATCTGAACAGGATTCTACCCCACAGGCTTAATTCTCTTATTAAACCGCCCAATTAATTCCCTCTAATAAGCTCTGGTATTAGTTAGAAGAAACTTAATAGACATCATCTTCTAGGATTGATACACAACACCCTGCTGTTAGAAGGCTTTTAACTTAACTGAATAGTTAACTGATTCTATGCAAATACTAGGAAAGGCAAATCCAGTTAATGACAATTCACTGCTTTCCATGGAGGGGAAAGAGGAAAAAGTACATTGAAGTAGCAGATAAAGTAGAGTTGGTTTACACAACTAAATTATGTTTATTTCAATTAGAATTTTAAATATTTTCTTTTTTTCTCATACTTGGGTTTAATAAATAAACATAAATAAAAAAAATTACATAAAAAAAGAGCAACAAGAACAAACATTAAAAAACAGTAAGATGAATAAGAATTTAAATAGAAGTTCTGCAGAATCCTAACAAAGACCCAGTTATTGGATTCAAGTGTGTTTAAACAGAGGCACTTCTTAAAGGTGTAGGACATTAGCCCTCAAGGACTGGAGACACTTGTGTTAAAGGGTTTTTTTTTCCAAAAAATATTTGTAGATACTGATTGCAAATAGGTTTTTCATCATTATTTCAGTTGCCTTTTTCCATGGTAAGGAATTTTCTTTTTTTTAAGTAAAAAAAATTACATTTTCAAACTAAAAATATAAGTTTTCAATTGAATAAGCATAAAAATTAAACTAAATGACATGGAAATTTCACTTCACCTTTTGGTTCTCTTAATGTATTTTAAAGGATAAATAACTGACCTGTTTTTCTTTCATGTTTCTATTTGCCTCCACAAAAACCTGCTGGCCCCATCTTGGCCCCTCTGGTAAATATGGTCTAGAACCGTCGCTGCACAGATGACCTTTTTACTCACTTTCCTCTCTGAAAATGGGATCTTATTTCTGCACAAATCTTTAAATAGCTTAGTTTCCCTATGACTGTTGCATTGGCACATTGGAGCTTTTTTCAAACGTCAATCTGAGATCTTCCATGGCATAAAAAATCATAAATTATGAAAAATAATCAATCCAGATAATAGTGATTAGTATGAACAACAGATCTGGATGTCAAGTCTCTTACAGTGATATCATCAATTATTTTATAAAGAGAAAAGCACAAGTCAAGTAAATGGAGCTTTTGCATGTAATTACATACATGAACATAGTTTTAAGATCTTATTATTTTCCTTTAAATTTATGAACATATTTGATCATCTATTCATTATCTGATGTGTGTTTGCAGGTAGTAAAGGAATCCTTTGTAGGTGAACCCAGATCAGATTATAAAACGGTTGCTTTGGCGCCCCCTATGGACAGCTGCTGACTTCACATCCTGTTGACCGAACGTGTCGCTGTTGTCTCCTTAAAACCATCCGACAAACAGCACTCAAAATGGCATTTACCTCTCAAGGCACAAAGAAAAAAGTTTGCTACTACTATGATGGTAAGTTCGCCCATTGTTGCACTTCAGTAAGCAGACTTATTAATTGATAAAATCCGTTTTATTTTACATCCTCCAATTCCTCTTCTTGCTAACCTAAGCTAATGTAGCTAGCTTAAGATGCTGCCCGCTCTCCTCACCTTAGTTTGAAGATATATGTTGGAGCGATTTGACCAAACATAAGCGATTCATTTGATTTTTGTCAAACGTAACTAATGAAACGCATTTCATTGTATTTTTTAAGGTGCTGTTTATGCTAGGATAAGAGCAGCCAATCAGCTAGCGCGCTAACACATGATGTAGGTTCATTGTCAATGAAAGGAGTTATAACCGATAATATAACCATCTTTTTAACCTCAAAAGCCGAGCTTTTGTTTGTGAAAATGAACGAATCGACTTCCAAATATGGTTAAATGGTAATTTGGACGGTCTGATTTTCTTTAATATCGCTGGTAGGGTAGTTAACAGGCAGACCATAGGGAATATCTGTTTATTGACTGAGAGATTCCGTAGCTGCAGTCAGTGTACTTTGACTGTAATGTTTACTGGATACTTTTTGCTTTGTCTGTAGGTGTTTTATTCAAGAGAATAACCCAAATGTGTTAATTTGCTGTATTTGTTCTCTCATTAGGTGATGTTGGAAATTACTACTATGGCCAGGGCCATCCCATGAAGCCTCACCGAATCCGCATGACGCACAACCTGCTGCTCAACTATGGTCTCTACAGAAAGATGGAGATATATGTATGTGAAATTAAACCAACTAGTTTTATTATGTAGTTAAGTGTAATTATGCAGGATGTAATCTCTGAAATTTATTCCAGCGTCCACATAAAGCCAGCGGGGAGGAGATGACCAAGTATCACAGTGATGATTACATCCGGTTCCTGCGCTCCATTAGGCCGGACAACATGTCAGAATACAGCAAACAGATGCAGAGATGTGAGTTTCATCTGAGATGTTATTAAAATCTTCCTGTTCCATTATTTTATATACATGAATCCTGATTGATTCATATAGCCTAGACCTCACTACGCCATTCATGCCTGATGCATAGGGTTAGGAAGTTTTTTTACGATTCCGATTCCCTTATCGATTCTGTGAAACAATGAACTTGGTAAGTGCACTGTGACATTCGTCAACCTTCGCCTGGGACATTCTATTTCTGCTTGCCTCCGCCAGGCTACCCGTCTCATCACAGTCCTCTAAATCTAATGGAGAAGGCATCTGTTTAATAAAAAAGCTTTACTGTACAATTTCGGGATATAAACTAATCTCCCCCTGATTTAAATAAACAAGCGTCACCTTTCTCTCGCTCCGTTAACTGCGAAGCAACTTCGTAGCATGTTTTGTTACATACATTGCAATAGCTAGAATGATGTGAGAATTCCAGCTACCAGTAGTTCTAATTAAACATGCTAGCAATGAAGGGCTGGATTAACGAGAAAGGCAGACTCCCTTAATAACCCCAGAGAGGTAGGAAGTTGGTTTATATCTAGAAATGGAATATGATTTACTTGAAACCACATTAAGCACAGCCAGTGATATAAAACTAACTAATTACCTCAGGAGTTGCCTTCTATGCTGGTTGTAACTATAGCTTCTGTCAAAAACATGGCATTCGTTAAAATGTATGCCATGTTGTGTGCGCAGGTGTTTTTGCATGTTGGATGTATTTCCTCCCGCAGATGTTATTGCCACTTTGCAATGCTTGCAAAGCGCCTTATTGCCATCTTTCTCTTCCTTAAAATGAAGCCAAACTATTGATTGCTTTGACCGCTTTTGTTTTGCTTTTCTAGACTTACCCCTGCTCATGTCGTACTTGCTTACTGAATACCGTGTGCGTAACTTACTGCTAAAATGTACACTTTTTAAAAGAAATGCAATAAAATTTCCTGTTTTTTTTTTACAGGATTATTAAATTAAAATGTCTAAAACAATCTAGAAAATCCCCACAATATTTTGGGATTATGGTAAAAAGGCTCAACATCAAATCTGATTATAAAAACCAAATCTACCATTTATCATTTTACATTAGCTTCCTTTTGATTAGGTAAGTTGAAGAAATAATACAGATTTATCCCCCCAAAAAACCAGACCCTTTAAATTGAATCTTTCAAGAGTGACAAAACTATTATAAAAGATAGTTAAACCCCAAGGATCATCAAATGAATATTGGTGACTCAAAAGCTAACAATTTACCATAATGTAATTTAATCTATGAAAAGTGAGAAAATTGTAAATACGGAAGATTTTAAGGATGGTAGGCATAGATGAAGCCATGATTTTTAGAACATCTGAACTAGTTGCTTACAAGACCAAAGCTGTAGACTTCAGAACAACTGGAAAACTGTACTGAACTCTGTCCATTGAGTCACCTCCAAACACCCTACTATGCATCTGTCCCCATTGGCTCTCACCCCCAGATTCCACAAACTCAATAAGAGCTGTTCCACATCCACCGCTACTCCTCTGTACGTCACCGTCCGCGAATATCGTCTCCGTCCTTTCCCTTCACAAAACGGAGCTGAGTTATATTTTGCTCCGCTCTGGTCCAGCCAGGTCAAGATCCGCAATTGCACAAAACAGGAAAAAGAACATTGATAAGATCCTGTTTGGTACTAAATTAAAATATAGTAACGTGAGATTGGTAACAACAAATGATAGCATAATTTTTATATATTCCCAAAACTAAGGCCATTTATTTAATAGATTGGATGCAAACTATTGGTACTTCAACATGCCAGAAAGCAGATTTCTCATCTCCATCAAAATATTTATTTTATACCGAGGGACTTAAAAGTATAATCAAATGGATTATATCAGGAAATTGATACTGAATCGAATCCCCATTATGGGTGTGATTTACACCCTTATTATAACAGAAGGGATCAGAATAAATGGATGCTCTCATATTCTAGAGAAAACATACCTATACCAGGGTTTATACAGGGATGAGTAACTCTAATGTAATGCTTTTAAATGACCTTAGAAATGCGGTTCTGCACAAACAACCAAAGAACCAGTTATATCTGACGAAATTGTTTTTAGAAATTTTTTTTTTTAATAAAGCATTTTAATTGCCACGATAATCATATTTAAGGAATTTTAATCCCAATTAAGGCCTTAATTAAAAAAAATATATAATTTAATAACTTTTAATGAGTCTTAATGATCTGCGTAAACCCTGTATACAGAATAAAAAAAACAGATGTTGTTTGTAACTGAGAGACAACTTTATGCTTGCAGGTCATGCTGATGATTCTTCTATTTAAAATTAATGTGAATATAAATATCCTTCAGAGGCTGGTCTGATTAAAAACTGCGTAAATATTTCAGCTTCTATTATAAATGTGTTTAAGAGGGGATTAAAATGTTATAGACAGATGTTTGTGCCCAAGTCTGAACAGCATTCTGTACGCAGCCTGAACAATCCGAACGTCTCTGGTGTGTTTTGCAGTTAATGTTGGTGAGGACTGTCCAGTCTTTGATGGTTTGTTTGAGTTCTGCCAGCTGTCTGCAGGCGGATCCGTCGGTGAGATATATTCCCGATCCAGTTCTGTAATGATGTGTGGCTAGGGAAGTGTTAAATTCCCTTTCCCTCCTTCACCATGTTTAAGCCGGCGCCGTGAAGCTGAACAAACAGCAGACGGACATCGCCATCAACTGGGCCGGGGGGCTTCATCACGCCAAAAAGTCAGAAGCGTCTGGATTTTGCTACGTTAACGACATCGTCTTGGCTATCCTGGAGTTACTGAAGTGAGTGTGACTGTGATATCTAATGTTTTCAGCTTGGTAGGGCTCCAACTAACTATTATTTTGCTAATCAATTTAATTGGTTATTTTTTTATCTTTAATACCACCATTTTAGGGCAGTATTGGGGCCCCGTCCGTTACTGGTATCGGTGCAACACTAATAATAAGCATTAAAAATGCTGGTTGTAAAGTATTTTTCCTGATCTCTAGATACCATCAGCGAGTTCTGTATATAGATATTGATATCCATCATGGAGATGGTGTGGAGGAGGCTTTCTACACCACAGACCGGGTTATGACTGTGTCCTTCCATAAGTACGGAGAATACTTCCCAGGCACTGGTGACCTACGGGTATGTCCTCAATGACTCTATCTTTATCCATGTTAAAGTGCTGCAGTAATTAAATTGTATTGTCCTTTTCTGTCTTTAGGACATTGGTGCAGGAAAGGGTAAATATTATGCTGTAAATTATCCACTGAGGGATGGGATTGATGATGAGTCCTATGAAGCCATTTTCAAACCTGTGAGTCATTGAAATCCTGTGTTTAGTCGTCCTTTGATGCTGAAAGAAATCAACTGAGAGCTGTTTTATTTTTTTCCCTAAAGATCATGGCGAAGGTCATGGAGATGTACCAGCCCAGTGCGGTGGTCCTCCAGTGTGGAGCCGACTCTCTGTCAGGGGACAGACTTGGCTGCTTCAACCTCACTATTAAAGGCAAGATGATTGAAAATAGAGGAAACTCAGAGTGTCTCTCCTGGATGTTTTTAATGAGTATTTTACACTGTGTGCTCAGGTCATGCTAAGTGTGTCGAGTACATAAAAAGCTTCAACCTGCCGCTGCTGATGCTGGGAGGAGGTGGCTACACCATCCGAAATGTGGCACGCTGCTGGACATTCGAGACGGCCGTGGCTCTGGATAGCTCCATCCCCAACGGTGGGCATGATCTCTGTCAGAGACACTGATTCTTTTCCTGGTGGTTTTGGGCTGATGCCTTCTCTTGATACATTTCACAAAAGAAAGAGGGCTTATTTGTGGATTTTAAAATAACGTACTGACCTGAATATAAGACCCCGATTATAAGATGACTCCCTCATTCCAGGACAAGTTTTTAGGAACAAAACAAAAAGAATAAAAAAAAAAAGATAATGAATATTAATAAGCCAAATTTATTTGGTTTAAAGAAACTATTCTATATTGAAGTGCAAACAATTGAATTAAAATTGTATTGCATTGAAAGATATGTGCAATCAAAGAATAAAAAGTTACAACAAAAAAAGGTAATAACACCTTTAATTTAAATCTCGAATGCAATCTGAACTTTGCTAACAGAACGTCTCAAAAACCTGCTTTAGGATTTTCCTGCCAGACGTCCTCTGCCTCGCTGCGCTCGCTGTCACTCCATTGCTCTCTGTAACGCATTTCCTTGCTGCCTGACAGTCCTCTGATGCCTCTGCTGCGTTTAACAACCATGATTTTAAAATTGGCGCCATAACTCCGGCTCAAATGTCTGCAAACTTGTCTAACTTTTGATCCATTCTGTTCTGGGCAGCGACTCTCCAATTGTAGCATCCTTGTCAATTTGTCTCTGATGTGTAGGAAAGATGACCTCAGCCACAGGGACATCATTGGCTTTACAAAAAACTGGCGCCCTCTGCTGCTACGTCTGTGTAGCAACCCCAGACAACTGTCAGCCTGTATAATTGATTTGAGCCACTGATCTCTCTTTATTCACTGGATTGCTGATTGTTTGATTATACGGGGTAGAAGTGAAGCCACCGGCCACCATATTGGAACTCCCTAGTTAGACCGGTCGCAATGTAAACAATATATGCGCTACAGCATTGAGCAACGATTATGTTCTCATTTTCAGGGGGACTAAGGACTTTTAAAGGGATAGTTCGGTATTTTTGACATGAATCTGTATGGCATCCCGATCACAAGCGGCATGCAATCACACTGACTTACCCCTGGCAGCGTCCTGTGAGCAGAGTTATCGTCCAGTTTTGGTCAAGCCGAAAGTAGTCCTGCAGGTTTTTAGGTACAGCGAAATAAAACGTTTCTCTTCCCAAAACATTATGTGTCCAAAAGAGTGATATTTTCGCATCCCAAAAACATTGTAGTGGAAAAAGTCACACGTCGTTATCAATTGGTCCTATTTTCTCTCTGTTCGTATCAGTGCGCGCCGTCATTCAGACAGCGAGCCCAACAACAGCCATGTCTCCTTCCGCGGCGGAGGGAGACATGGCTGTTGTTACAGATTCATGTCAAAAATACCGAACTATCCCTTTAAGTTAAATTCATCACTTTGTCACACACTTGTTGTTTCATAGCATCAGTAGCTAACTTTAACTTATATTTTTTTTAAAAATAGGCACATCTTATTGCATTGTCATTATGACATCAGTGAACTCTCTAAATCATGTAATATAACATATTATATAAATCCATTACAATGAAATTGATGTGTTAATGGAGCATAATAATACAGATGTGCCAAAAGTGCTGAATACATGATCTACATGTAATATACATGTATTTATCCAGGGTTTCCGCGGGTCATTAAATAATTATTTAAATTAAGGCCTTAATTGACATTAAAATTCATTAAATGTTATTATCATGGTTTTTAAAAAAATTTATAAAACAATTTTGTCAGATATTGAACTGCTTTATCATGGGTACTTGTTGATGGCATTAAAATTATTTCTAATAGTACGAAAGCATTAAATTAAATGGTAATTACATCTTACATATAATTAAGATTTTACATAAAGACTGCCTTACAAGCACACATCTGTTAATGCTATAGTACTTTTCTATTTGCAAATTGTGCACGAATGATACCATATACTCTTATACTATACTTTTATACTTATTATACTTTTATATGTCTCTCCATTAGCCTTTAAATGTGACAGATTTATAATAGAGCTAAATTAATGAACCAATTTAATAACTCAAAAGAGCTTCAGTTTCTACACTAGCAAAATCCCATAAATTGGTAAAATAACAGGAAATTAAAGTTCATATTTTGCTCTTGGTTTACAACAAGAATCTGATCATTTGAAAAAATTATAAATAAAAGTGTGTGCACACACTGACTCTGACAGGGAAATTACCTCTGGAACGTCTTCCCACAGCCGGCAAACTGCTTGTTTTTGCAGTCAAATGCAAAACACCTTTAATGCGTGTCTCGGTGGGAGTGGGGAGTACCAGCATAGCGGACAGTGGCTTCACTTTTTTCAGGCAATCAGCAATCAAGTGATCAGTGGTTAGACCCCGATTATAAAACGACCCCACATTTTCACATTGTTTTTAATGGAAAAAAAAAACTTATATTCTTGTTTTTGGACAGGCATATATGAATGCTTTCCTCAAAGTGAAAGATAACCTGTAATCAATTGGTCAATTTTATTAATATTTGACATATATGATGCTAACTCTGCTGTTTAGTACCAATTTTAGTTTATAAAGGTTACTTTTTGATAGATGAAATTAGTAGATATTTAAAATACTCTTACAGCCTTTTTGTATTGAAGTATTTTCTCTCTTATTGGCAGAGCTGCCATACAATGACTACTTTGAGTATTTCGGACCAGACTTCAAGTTGCACATCAGCCCATCCAACATGACCAATCAGAACACCAATGACTACCTGGAGAAGATCAAGTGAGCCCACAGATCTTTTTTTTCATTCAAAGTATTTCCTAGTAGCGTCAGATGATGTGCTAAAAGCTGCATTTCATACGTTACATTATGTTGCTTTTAGAAAGAGATGAATGGTTTTCGTCGTCTTAAAACTATTCCTGTTTCGTGCCTTTTAGGCAGCGTTTGTTTGAGAACCTGCGAATGTTGCCTCATGCCCCTGGAGTCCAGATGCAAGCCATCCCAGAGGACGCTGTGCAGGAGGACAGCGGCGACGAAGACGATGATCAAAACAAGCGCATATCAAGTAAAAACATTTCCTATGAGCGGTTTCCTTCCATATATGCTCCTGCATTAGTTCTCTGTTCGAAGCAACTTCTCTTAATATAAATCTATTCTGTAACATTCAGTCCGTGCTCACGACAAAAGGATAGCATGTGAGGAAGAGTTCTCAGACTCAGAGGACGAAGGTGAAGGAGGTCGCAGGAATACAGCCAGCTACAAAAAAGCTAAGAGGACCAAGACTGAAGGAGAGAAGGAGGCAGAAGAGAAGAAGAAAGGTACAGAGGAAACAAAAGGTACTCATTCTTTTTCATCCTCATCTCCCAACAACCCTGTTACTCCTTTAGCTGATAATGTAATTTAAATTGCTTTTCCAGAGGTAAAAGAAGAAGAAAAGGTACCAGAGGAGGAAAAAATGGACACATCAAAGTGAGAAAACACTGCACATACACATTGACCATGATGGCGAGGAGGTGGTTAACAGGAGGCGTTAATCCTTTCCTTCCTCTGGCTCCTTTAGGCCAGATGAGGAGCCCAAGACTCCCTGAGGCCCTGAGCTCCCAGGAATGCAAGTACATCAAAGCTGATCTTAAAGTGGCTTTTTCTTTTTTTTCCTCAAAGATCTTTTCCGACTGTTTCAGTGAAAGTTGGGACTGTATATTTTAATGAAAATGTTTTATTAGCTTTTTTTGTTTAAGAAATTCTTTTCAGTTTGAACACAGAAAATGTGTTTAAGTATTTTTTGTATGAGTTTCTTTTTAATTACTATATGTACTTTGCCAGTTGTGAAAACATCTGTACAAACAGCTTAGCATGTGTCTTTTTTTACTGTGTACCTGGATCTTATTTAACTCCGACATTTTTCACACCTGATGTGTTTTGGTTATGTGCCTTTGGATTGGTAGAAGAAAAACGTAGAAATATTAGATCCCTTTCTGGAAAACACGGAGCTGATCCTTTCCGCCAAAACCACATATTCATTTTTAAGAAGTTCTTTGTTTTTCCCAGGAATTAGTAATTGACTTTTTTGTTTTTTTTTTTTTAGAAAAGCCAGACATCCTAGTGGATATTTGTGTACATTTTCTTAAACATTAGTCAACACACTCTGAATTAGTTTTTTTTTTTTTTTTTTTTGCAAATGTAAGGAAAAAAGTTGTCAACGGTTAAAAGTGTATTGAAGTTTTTTTAATAAAGGATAGAAAACACACGTTTTGTCTCCACAATGAAAGACATTTTAAACTGGAAATAGGCAGATGTTTAAAAGCAATACAAATATGATAAAAACATGTAGGTCAAAAATATCCCATTACATCGTTTAAAAACAAAACAATTTTGCACCTAAGAGGCATAAATATTAAAATGTAACTGCTTTAACCAGTAACAGATTCCCATCCGTCTGTTTAGACAGTTTTTCCCATCCTGTTAATCAGATCTTTGCTGCTTTAGACCCAGTCGCTCTGGACGTCTCCACTTTGCAGCAGCTCATCTCGTTCCACAGGCTCCTCTTCAGCCTCTGGCTCTGGGCGTGGTTGAGGGGTTTCGGCTACTTGGAGTCTAACCTAAACATTTTAGAAAAAGAAAAACAGGCACATTTTGGAAGAATTCATGATCTGATTTACCTGGTTGTCACAATCTGTTCACATTTTGATTACAGATTTTTTTAAAACGGTTTAGAAACATTTAGGTCTTTTTTTTTTTTTGCTGGAAATTATATCTCTACTGCATGAATCTACCAGGTCTAATAGGGGTGTGGGGGGGGTCGTTTTGTCAACATATGATTTTTGGCTGCCTGATATATCCATCTTTTAGTTCCTAGTATTATTAAAAAAATTTTTATAAAGCTAAACATTTTTACCTAAAACTGAGGAAAAATTTGTAGCTTCACTAACAGATAATACTGTGGAGCCATTTTGCTGTGTGACGCAGCACCATATCTAGTTGAGGCAGTCACAGTGGAAGACATGGACTGACTCAAACCCCAACCAACATGGATACCAAGAGTGGTGGGAAAAGTACACACATTTGTTACTTAAGTAGAAGTATAGATACTGCAGTTTAAAAACACATAAAAGTTGAAGTATCAACTTGACCTCTTTACTCAAGTACAAGTGAAAAAGTATGTGCTCCAAAAACTACTTAAAGTATAAAGTAACCTGTAAAAAAAAATAAAAGCCAGACGCCACTGTATGAATTCAAATATACATTTTTCGACTATTTCGGAAAATTCTTTGAGATAGGGCCAAGGATGAGGGAGGTCTTGTTGGTCTCCATCTCCCGATACACTCTCGCCTGTGTCTGACCTTTCAGACATTTCAACATCTTTTTCTGATTTCAACATTGCAGCATGGCATACATAGACAATTCACGTTTCCAGTTTGAGGAACAGCTGCTTGCTTCTGATAATTTCCTTTAGCTAACCAATGAGTGTTTGCGTTATATGACTCATCCAATCACACTAGATGTGGATGGCACCAATGATCTGCATTGGATGGCGCACCTGACATGAAATAAATATTTATAAACATTAAACCGAACCCAAGAGTAACGAGTAACGTTTGTTTTAAAAATGTAAGGAATAGAAAGTACAGATACTTGTGGGAAAATAATGAGCAGAAGTCAGAAGTAGGAAGAAAAAAAGTAATGGAGTAAATTATAGATACCTAAAAAGTGCACTTAAATAACAAAGTATTTGAACTTCTTTACTTGGTACCTGGATACCAAAACAACTGAACGTTCAATATCATCTGATGAAAATTTACAGATGTTCCTTTTTTAATATACGTATGGTGAGATTGCAATATAGTAATAATATCGTATCGGGACCCAAGTATCGTGACACGTATTATATCACAACACCCATGCCAATACTCACACCTGAGGTCTAATATAATATAAAAAAGCTTTGTTATTACACTAGATGTGGAAGGTTTGGCTCTGTCTGACCTCATCAAATTAGAGATTTGCCATTTTATGTTTAAATGACAGAGATGGGGAGTGCGATAAAGGAAGGCAGGTTCTGCTGGAGGTTTCTTCCTGTTGAGTTTTTCCTCTCCACTGTCTCCACAAGCATGCTTAATGTGAGGAATTGCATTCAAGTCAATGAGTCGATGCAAATGCTGGTTTTCCCTAGATAGAAACATTTTAATTTACTGTATGATCTAGTGAACAGTAAAGTGCCTTGACAGGACGTGTCGTGAATTAAAAACTGAATTTTAAGCATTTACGGTACATCATATGTTGCACCTCTTTCCTCCATCAGTAGTTTTCACTGTTTTGTGATCAATACATTTTACTATTTTCATTTTTTATTTTAACTTCTGTAATGGTGGAACCACACCATTTACAGCTCTTTAGATTCATTTCCCCCAGCTAAGCTTTTACTGGTCCTTTAGTTCTTGCGCTCAGGTCCCAGTCAGCAGATCATCGATCCACGAACCTTTAAAGTCTTTCTTCTTTATCTTCAAGCCATTTTGTGAATAAACAAGCGCTGGAAGTCGTAGCCTCATATGGAATTAATGGGGTGGTAATTCTGCAGATTTGCATTTCTCATGAATCCCCACTCACTTACGCACAGGTGGACTGATTTACCAGGATCATTTAAGAACATTTGCGGAATCTGATGCGGCGCGTTCGTAAAAGCACACGGTAGGAGAAAAAGCCAGAGAAAATTACAATGTTGTTGCATGAGGCCCATTGTCTCGTTGCAACACTCATTTCAAAGAAAGTTCCCCTTTAACACAAGGCAACATGACCTAAGGTATTTCGATCCTAGAGCTGGGTATTTTCGCCAAAGTCCTGAATCGATTCGATTTTGATTCATACAGTTCTAAATCGATTAATTTCGATTCGACCTGTTTTTACAATAATGAAAGTTGTTCAACTGTGTTTCAAAATACTGATGTTTTTTTTTTTCCTGTCACATTAAACACAAAGTGCAAACGTGTAAATAAGACAGTTTAAACATGAGATGTGAACAAAACTGTCTTAAAAGTGCAAACTTGTTTGTGAAAAGTGAAAAAGTGAAGCCTCACTCGAGCAAGCAGACGTGACACAGCAGACATGCATGAGCTGCATTGTCTTCAATACACAAACCATATTTGCAGTGTTGTCTGTAACAACTACAGGGTGTTTTCTGGCCAGCCCCCATTTGTAAATGTCTTCAGTCAACCTATTGGGTATATTTGCAGCTGTCTGGCTTGAAGTAATCTTGAGTGCATCTTTCCTGCTTATTTGAATGTGAACGTCAAGCGGGTCACTATAAAATGAATCAATCTCATTCCCTAGACATCGATTTCGCAAAAAAGTAAAGCAATCAATTAAATCGTTTTTTTTACCCAGCCCTATTTGATCCATAAAAACATTTAATATAATTAGACCCAACATTACCGTGCAAAAAACATATCGCATAGCATGATGCACGTCCCTCTCTGCTTAATAAAGATTTACAAAGATGGGCCAAATATTGGTGCAAAGCAAAATTAAATCCAGACCATCTGCTCAACTAAATTTTGAATTTGAGACAGATGGAGGAATATGTTAAAATTAGTGTTGCACCGATACCAGTATCAGGCGGGGTCCCGATCCAGTGTTAAAATGGTGGCATCGGCGAGTACCAACAAATAGGGCATCTACACCATTTTGATGTTTTTATGTCACTTGAAGTCAACCTTCTCTTTCCTGAGACTCACTAGTGTTAACTTACTATTGGCCGGCTCCAGACCAATGAGAGTGGGCTAATAGCCGCTATTAACCAATGCCGGGGCAGCTTTTCTCATGCGGTGGGAAAATAAACCAGGAGAAGAAAATGTCTGCAGTGTGGAAATATTTTGTTAGAGAAACGCCGGCGAGCACATTGGCTAAATGCAAGATTTTTTACCTGAAAGTTTCTAAAGGTGGAGTTGAACCGGGCAGTTTTAATACCTTGAACCTGATCAAACATTTGAAGTCGAAACATGTGAACGAACACAAAGAGTACGAGACTGCCAAGAGAAACCGGGAAGGTCTGCAGCAACAATTTCTAGTCAGCTCACTTCATGGGAAAGAGCAGTGGGACGAGAAGAGTGAAGCAGCAAGACAGGTGTCTGAGAAAATAACTGAGATGACTTCACATCAGCCTAAACCTAATTTACAGGACAAAACTATTTATATCAATTCTGATTGATTCTATTTGTTCTTACCTCAGATACTCCTTAATGCAGCTATCTCTCAAATATATCTCATATGTATACAATTTTTTATTTTAATATAATTTTACATTCTAAGTGTTGCACTGGTATTATACATGTTACAATTTTATGAAAGTTGCACCATTTTGGCATTTGGGAGCCAAAAGTCAGGGCTTTTAAGAGTTTATTCAATTATTGATGTAATTTTGCTCTTTTACTGTTGCACTAGTATTATACATGTTATATACATCCGTGAAAGTTGCACTATTTTGGCCTTTGGGAGCCAAAAGTCAGGGTTTAAAAGAGATTATTCAATTATTAATGCAACTGTACTGTCTTACTGTTGCACCACTATTATACATGTTACAATTTCATGAATGTTGCACTATTTTGGCCTTTGAGAGCCAAAAGTTTATTCAGTCATTGTCACCCATATCAGGTAGGCAATAAAAAGTTCTACTGGATTCTTTGTATTAGTCTTTTTCCTGCTTCACAAAGGTAGGCAGCAGCTTGACAAAGCCATGATGACAATAATTTTACATCCAAGTAGCATGTAGTTCTTCATATATGCACACACACACATCAATTTCAAACAGATAGTATCGGTATCGGCCAATACTGCACAGCCAGGTATCGGGGCCAAAAAATGGCAATAGCGCAACGCTAGTGAAAATGAATTTTGAAGATTTATTTATGAATCAATGAAGAAGCTTTCACTCATCAAAATAAGTCTAAATGAAAAAAAATCGGAAAATGCCAATCCATTAGGAACAGAGGTGTCAAGTAAGTAAGTACAAATACTTTGTTACTGTACTTAAGTAAACTTTTTAGGTATCTATACTTTACTCCAAAAAGATGTCTGAAAGGTCTGACACAGGCGAGAGCGTATCGGGAGATGGAGACGGAGACCAACAAGACCTCCCTCATCCTTGGCCCTATCTCAAAGAATTTTTCGAAATAGTTGAAAAATTGTGCTTTTAATTCATATAGTGGCATCTGATTTTTTTTTTTTTTTTTTTTTTTAAGGTTACTTTATACTTTTATACTCTAAGTAGTTTTTGGAGCACATACTTTTTCACTTTTACTTGAGTAAAGAGGTCAAGTTGATACTTTAACTTACCAGAGTGTTTTTAAACTGCAGTATCTATACTTCTACTTAAGTAACAAGTGTGTTTACTTTTGACACCACTGATTAGGAATCAGAATACCTGAAACCCCGCGTTCACACTAATTTCTGGAATAAATCTAACAGCAACCTCAGCGTCTCTGACATGACAGAAGCTTACCCTTCTAGCCCGGAGCGGTTCGCGCCTGCATGGACAAAGGTACAGGAAGGAAGTGCAGGCAGCAAAACAGCGAAAGGTGAACACCGCCTCCACGATGCACATTCCCAAGAGAGGGATCCAGAGAATGATGCTGGTTGCCTTCATTTACAAAAAAAAAAAAAAGACACATTTAACACTAACAGCATCTGAATATGAAAAGTTACTGATCAGATACATGGATGAGTTTTGTACTTACATAAATACGAGTTGGATCAAAGGGACATTCATTTGTAATGGCTGCAGAAAAGTCATCATCAAAGAAATTGCAGTATCGTCTTAGAATATTTTCTCTATGGTAGAAGGCTTTAATCAAAGACCATAACAAGCCCACGGCAGAGGCAACTCCCAAGAAACCTGCCATAATGCTGAACACAAGCAGAACCCACATCTGCAGAAGAAACAAAGGCATTGGTCAGACATGAAAAATACTGTGTCCTATTAAAAGTAAATCCAAGGTGTCAAAGGTTATACTATGTTGTGTTGACACTTTTTTGTTCAAAAAGAAAAAACAAAAAAAAAAACGCTTTTTTTTTTTGCTAAACGTACAGACAGGTTCTGACAGGAGCAACCACATCAGATGTGTGGGATAGAAAAGTGAGGCAAACTAAGGGGAAAAGTATTTACCAGGGTCCTGTTTTTCTTGTTCTTGGACAGGACAATAGCAATTATCCCGCTGATGATACCCTAATGAGAAAAAAAAGAGCAGCAACGGCTTAACTTCCAAAAACAAAACATTTAATAATGAAAACAACCACTATAAGGGGATGTAAATCAACGCACCATCAAACCTGCCACAATGGCAACGACGTTAGAGATGGCGTACACAAGATTCCTGGCCTGCACCCGCACAATGATGTAACGAAGCACAGCGCCGTGCACCAGAGCTCCCAGAAGAAAGTTGACATGGCCAACCAGCACCAGGGTCAGCCCCATCTTCATTAGGGCTTTGCTTTCTTTGAGGTTGGAGCAGCATACTCCTAGAGGAAGCAAAATTCACAAACAAACTGTCATAAAAAGGTCCACAAAAAACAGTATTTAACTTAATGTTAATCCCTTTATTGTCCTATAATGGAGAAATTCACTCCTTGCTGTACACACAATTACAATTTAACATTTAATTAAGTTCACCCAAAATAAAATAAAAACAGAAATAGATTTATTTAGTAGTTTTCTTCTCATACTGACCACTTGAAAGCTGTGCAAGATGACTACTGATGCAACCAGCCACATAACCCCCAAAATAACCAGGCCAGTTATTGGCTCACCCAACATTTATTTAATTAATTTCTTACTTTTTTAAAGTAATTAATGTGTGACTTCCTGTTTCTATGTAGTGTACATCAAATGGGATTCTTTTCTCTCATTCACAGTGAAAAAGCAGATTAGACATCAGACATGCTACTTAAGAGGGGTAGATGCATAGTAATTTCCACAGTGTTAAATATGAAGTGCCAAAGTACATTGACTCTTTTAGAGTCATTACAGCAACAACTGAAATAAAATATACACTATGTAGAGTTCTAATTTAACACTAATTCTGAGTGGGACCAAATGCACTCTTAAAGTGTTACTTTTTTTATATAAAAAATTTCATTTTTTTTTTAACTTTTTTGAAATTTTAGATATTTTGAAAAGTGTATGCAGTAAAAATAAGTCATATGGTCAGAATTTGATCAAAATTAGCAAAATATATGAAATTAAATAGAAAAAGCAAAATGTGTAGATCTGTTACTCCTATATTTTAGTTTAAAGGGACACTATGCAACATTTTTCAGTTAATTAATGTGTTCCATAACGTTATGGATGACTAAATGAGTCATTTCAGGTTGAACAAAGGTATTCTCGGCCGCCCTGGTGGTCTGTGGGGGAAATACTGCACTTGCAACTGCAGGAGCACCGACCCGCACCCACAGGCTCAGAAGTCTCGTGAGAGTCAGTCTTGCTTTACGGCAAGAACTGCTACACGCCCCCAGTTAAAAGCATTCTCGTTGCTAGCACAGTGGCAATCTTTGTGCAGTTATGCTACGTTCACGCAGCAAAAGCAGCAAAATCGCGTCTGCTGCTTCCTTTTTGCTGCTTGTACCAGTTAGTTCTGACGCGTGGCTGAAGCAGCTTTGCTGCTCTGGCTGTGTCTGAGGCGCGTTGGGCAGAGCTTCACTATCCTTTCTCTGCCTTGCAGCTATATTTGCTGTGATCAGTGGGAATAAAGTAGTTTTAATATGTGTTTAAGTGAGAAAATACACCTGAAAACGTAATCAGTGCAGTCAGTTCATTCAGATTATTATCCTGCCTTTAATATTTTTTTCTGTCGGAGCTGCTCAGACCCCCACATACCAGCGGGGCGCCAACAGTATGGATCCCTTCATCAGCAGCGGTTCACCGCGGCAGCTGGTAGGTGTTTTTCATCTAAATAATCCAAACTGCATATTCTGCCGGCAGATTTCTGCATTTTAAGTTAATTTAGGCGTCAATAAACTGTTTAAGAGGAGTGATCATCAGCGCTGTGTCTCTCTCCCTGCGTTAAACGCACCCGACGCGCTGCTTCAGCTGCTCAGACGTGCTGCGCCTGCTGCTCAAAACGCGCCGCGGGACCTTTTGCTGCGCCTTGACGCGCGTCAACCATTGACTTTGCATGTAAACTCGCTGCTTCTGTCGCGCCAGCTACGTCCAGTGTGAACGCAGCGTTAGTCATTCGCTGCTAAGCTCAAAACAACCGCGCCTGGCTTGACGGAGAAACCAGGAGAACAGCTGTGCATATTTACGACAGTGCACTTTTACTTTCGCCCTCTGGAGGGAGCCTCACTGGAAAATCAACACCGGTTGCATAGTGTACCTTTAAAACCTAATATTTTTTATCTCAATAAAATTTACAATACATGGTGGTACTGTTTACAACATTAGAACAACCTATGAAATTAATGCAGAAGGAACCATAACAAATGCTTGCAGTCCCAGGCCAACAACTCTATCTAGTTATATCTAGTTCTATGTTCCAAGTGAAATGAAAAGCAACTACAGATGGTCGGCTTGTAACCAGATCCTGAGCATGAACCAGACACTACCTCGGGTGTTTAAACACCCACCACCACATTTACCTGACCTGGAGGGTCAGGTGGTGTCAGATAGAAATGTAGAGTGAATCCTGTGGGAAAACAAGCCATGTTTTTGCTCATAATATTGTAGTCATCTTACTGAAAAACATGAAATATTAATCATTTTTACTTTAAGTGTAGCTGTATAGCTAGAGTGAATATAATAAAAAATTCTGATTTAAAATAAATATTTATTCAAAATCTGTGAAAAAGCTACAGGTAGATCAGGGGTCCCCAAAGTAGGGGTCAGGACCCCTGGGGAGTTGCAAGATGGTTTTTATGTGTATGTGATCCCTGAAGTATATAGAAAGGTAAATATATCATGAAATATATAAATGTAAATGTGCAATGAAATAAATAAATATATACAGCATGAAGGGTTGTCAATAAAATATTTGGTACTATGAAAAGTAATTATATTTGAACGCTGTATCCAGATACAGCACTAATTTGGCATGGTATGAATACTAAAGGCTTGTGTATTTACTAGTGTGTGTGATTCTTTGAGAAAGCATTTTTCATGGCGAGATTGACAATTTTTTTTTCCTTCCTTCAGTTAAATGTCATTTTTTATCCTAGTGGTATCCAGAATGGTATAGATTATCGTACATTTTCTTTTAATTTTAGTATTTTGACAACCCTAGTGCCATGAAACAAGGTTTTAAAAAAATATTATACTGTTAAATTGTAAAATATGAATTGAAATAAATCTTTGAAACTACTCTAAATTATCTGAAAAAAAAAAAATTCAAAGTTTATATAATTGCTTAACTTAATTTTCATGCATAAATAAGAGATCTAAATAATTAATTGCGATTATTCAAGTATTAAAATAACTTTGTGGATTAAACATTAACCGGAGTATAGGGACTCATGCCTTTATCTGACAGAGCAACCCACTTAGAGCAATAATTATACCAAAACTATAATATATACATAAACATTTTGCATTTAAGATAAAAAAAAAACTTTTCTTTTTTAATATGCTATATCCAGAACTCCTCACATAGAAAAGTTTTATTGCTGTCTGATTATTAATCATTTAAATGAAAAAAATAATCAACTAATTAATTGATTAGCAAAATTATCATTAATTGCTGACCTAGAATGAAGTAATTGCGTGTATTTTTACAGGATCTGCTGCCATTGTTATTTTTGGGCTGAAATGTTTGGGAAACAAATAGATAGATGACATTTAAATTGTCTTTGCTTTCTCTTTTATATATGGGTTACTGTTTATCCACAGCTTTCTTTTTATTCCAATAAAAATATATTTGATCTGCAGTCTAAATGAGTTTATGAAAGTATTTTTTAAAGTTTACTTTGGAGGTAGGATTGAAAAATGTCTAAAATTCCTGGAAGAGGATCTTAAGATAATGATCTAGAAATCTGACACAAACAAATATGGATCAAACCTGCTAAACATTCTAGAAAAAAAAAGGAAAAAAAAAAAAAAGAGTAAGATGTTTACTTTAAATACTCAAATGGACTACGTAGCTGAATAGACACACGCCTGAAGAAACAAACCGCACCAGGGTCTGATGCACTTGCTCCATACGGAAGCAATGACATTCATCAATAAGGAGGGGAACATTTCCCCTCATACAGGCAGCACTTTAGAGAAGGACTTTATGGTTGTTATTATTATCCAAGCACAAAACTCTATCCATCAGCCAACAATCGGATGTGTATTGCTCTGGGGAACCCTATCCAGGTCACCAGACCACGCCTAAGCATTGCACAGCAAAGCTGACAAACGCGCTCAGATTCACTAACATCAGCAGAGTTTACATACCCGCATTAACCATGATGGATCCTTCTCCCCTTCAGATTGCAGCTACTATTAGGAAAGCTGTGATACAATCATATCTGAACCTCTTTTCACGGTTTGCTATTCCTGAGATTCTTGACTTCCGTGTCTGACAATCACCTGGGGACAAACAGTCAGAGCTTACCTGAGCGGAAGCTCCGCCCACCGCAGCGTAACTGCTGCAGCTGCGGAGAAGAAAAAAACAAACATATTTTATTAATCCAGCATTTTGGAAAATATAAATTGGAAGTGTACGGAAGAGGATTAGGGCCACTGAAAAAATTAAAAAAGGTTAACTAGTTTTTCATTTTTTATTCATTATAAAATCGGAAAAAAGTCAGAACTCTGACTTAAATCTTGGAATTCTGACTTTAATCTAAGAACTCTTAGTTTAATTTCAGATTTTTTATTTTAGTTTTAGAATTCTGACTTTAATCTCAGTATTCTGACTTTAATCTCTGAATTCTGACTTTCTGACATTCCAGTATAACATGTTCCATTGTTTCAAATTTTCCAGAGAAATCATTTGCCAGTGGTATGCTTTTGAATTTTGAAAAGTTTATAATTAAGTCCTGTATGCCCAAATCTTAACCTTGTTATCCCTCTTCCCTCCTTTCTATTTTGTCTTCCTTTCTATTTTTGTCTTCCGTTTCTTCTTTTTCCTATCTACTGAATTTTATAATACCGACATTCATATAAATATATATATATATATACACACACACACACACACACACACATATATATATATATATATATATATACTACATATGCAAACATTTACAGATATGCATACATGTACCCATGTCTTTATCTACATATACTCAGGGGTGGAGCTAGATAGGGCGCCAGGGGTGGCCATGGCCCCCCTTAGCCAATCATTGGCAACCCCTGTGGCCACCCCAACCATTTTTTCCTTCTGATACAGATGTTGGCAGCAGTTGTACTTTCATTAAAGATAAAAACTGAATTCATGTGCTGTTCATAACTAGATTTTGTCTTATATGGGGTAAAGAGAACATTATGTGTCTCTGCAAGTCATCTAGAAGTCTTAAGTGGAATCATAAATGAATAATGATTGATAAAATATATATAAAATATATATATATATATATATATATATATATATATATATATATATATATATATATATATATATATATGTATAGCTACAAATTTTAAATCTTATTATATATTAGCTATATATTATATAGCTACATATTTTAAATCTTATTATATAATCCTATATTCTTAAGATACTTTATAACAGCTTTCTGTATTTTTTTATCCCCTCTCCTGTTGTTCCTATTAATTCTTCCAGATTCCACTCCCTTCCTATTTCTTGTCTTTTGTTTTAATCTCATCCTTTCTTCATTATATTTTCTACAATTTGGTGATATATTGTCTACATTTTCTATTACTTTACATTCTATACACCCAGCTTTTTCACTTTTCCTCAATAAAAATAATGTTTTGTTTAATCCAGTATGATCAAATCTTAGTTGTGTCAAAATAATCTCCTCTCTTCGATTCTTTCTAATCATACCCTTGGCATTAACAGATCTCTACATACTATAATAATTTCTTCCACTTTTAGCCCTGTTCCATCTATCCTGCCATTTTTTCTTCATTTCTTTTTTGATCATTGCCTTAGCTTCTCCTTTATGTTTATAAAATTATTTGTTCGGACTTTTTTTGTTTTGCTCTTTTATTTCCATTTATTCCTACGTAGAATCCAACAAAATTTTACATTAATATAAAGCTTTTGTATTCTGAATAAACTTTGATGAATGTCTAATAATAGATCTTCTCTTTCTGATTTCATATTTTGGATACTGTGGAGGGCTGATGACTTGCTGTTGGAGAGTCCAACAAGTTATGAGAAAAAAAACTGACACATCTCTCATGTGCTTAATTGTAAACACCTGCCTCATCATCCTCGTCACTCTATTAATGTCACACTGGTGTCAGGACACAACCAGAATTGTTGGCCCAGTTTGAGGCTCACAATGGGTACACTGCAGCGAGTTCTTTGGAGTTTTCTTTGCTGCTTTATAACTGTTCAGTCTTTCCATAGGCCAGATGATTTGATGTTTCATCAAGATTTTCAAAGCCCGTTTGATGATAATTGGTTCTTTCCATTTGAAGGAAACTTGAATTTCCCATCGTTTGATACCATTTTCAGCTCTTGGAAAAAATGGAGCCCTGACTTCCACATGCTGGCTGAATTTCCTCCCATCATGGATGTTCCAAGAGTCCAAGTGTTTTGTGATGAAACCAAACTCACTTTGTTGGTTGACAAGGAAGCGTTTGGTGTTGCATTGACTGCAGAGGAGATACAGCTGGGCAATGGGTGCTACAGCAACCAAGAAGAAAAGGATCAACTTGTGTTCATCTATAACTTGGACCAATGTGGAACAACATCTATAGTGAGTTACTTAGCATTCTGATTGCCACACAAAGTGAAGGATTTTAAATCTATTCTGTCTTTCAGCTACAGAATGGTTTGCAGACCTTCACCAATTCGCTCCACATGAATCTCAAGAGAAAACCAACCACCTTGTGGCAAACTAATCCAACGATTCACATCTCCTGCACCCCAAAGAGGTGAGTTGACTGCATAAAGCTTCTGTTCCTGCTCATGAAGCAAACCTAAACCTTGTCTTTCCAGGCTTTACATGGAGCCTAACATGATCTCCCAGCCATCTTGGGCTGTAAAGAGATTTGACATCCAAGCTATGAATCGTGAGTAGTCATGAAAGTCCTGATTACAGGTTGAGTTTTGGTAAATACCCCCCCCCCCCCCCCCTCCTTTCCTACAGCCTTGTGGACACAAAGAGCAGAGTCTAATGTTTACAAAAGAGGCCAGGTAGTCAGACTGCAGGCTTCTGCTGAAACTAGACCTGGTCAGCAGCTTTTCATCCAGTCCTGCTTTGTCTCTGCATCCCCTGAGCCCCAGGCAAGACCGAGGCACGCAGTCATACTAAACAAAGGGTAAGAGACTCTACTTGCTTTCATTTTAATGAGGTTTGTTTTGTTTTTTTTATCAATGTGGTGAAACGCTTCAGACTGGGTCTTTAACCTACAAGAGTATTTGCAGTTCAATCCCAAGTTAGGCTCTATTGGTTCTAGGAGAAATCCTATTCCCATGAGTAGAGTCTCGAATTGGAAACCGTCTCCATTATGACTTTTGACCTGTCTTCTAAATGTTTAGATAGAAATCTTCTACCATATACACCAGGTGTAACCAATAAAAAAAAATCAGCGGGGTCCTAATAAAGAAAATCATTAACTAATAAAGGTCTGAAGACCTTTTTAATTATAATCTGTGCTATTACTTTATACATAAACACCAAAATAAAATTTGGGTTTTATGCATACACTTTATACATTGAATCTTTCAATAAAAAAAATAAACATTTTCCATTTTAAAATCTAAAGTTTTTAACGATAATTTTAGTTTGGTATATAGACAATTTCCTGATTCACATGTTTTATAAAACACATGAACTATTTAATTTTATTTATTTTTCCTGGCTTAATGAGAGCAGTGGGCTTTAGGCTGCCCTGCAAGGCTTCAAACCTGGGTTTGAATTGAGACAAAGCATTCCAGCAGTCCACTTTCTCTTTTTTTTTTTTTTTTTTTTTTTTTTTTTTTTTCCCTCATCTCCTTATAGTTGTCAAATAACGAAGTACAAATACTTCGTTACTGTACTTAAGTACACTTCATTTCGAATTTTTCGAAATGGTCGTAAAATTGAGCTTTCAGTTCATAAAGTGGCATCTGGCTTTTTTTTTTTTTTTTTTTAATAAAAGCTGTTGCTTCTTTCCCATTGGCCAGCTTGCCCCAGGTTTACCTGCTGTGTCTAAAAGTAGCTTGCAGCAACCCAGACTGACGCAGCTTATTGGCTAATTTGTATCACGTGCAGCCTGGTCCCAGACACTCTGGAGAGCTTTACCATATTAACAGGAGAAGTAGTACAAGTGAAGTTAGACATTGTCGTCAGACAACATGCGGTAATTTATAAATGTTTTACGGTAAATCAGGTTGTGTCTGGAACACGGTCTGCTAATCCATGACCTCTGATATATACCTATGGAGGCTCTGTCTGTATAACCAATAACGGTTTAAGTTTTCTGGGTCTTTTTGGTTATAAATGTGTTTATTGTGACTAAGTCATTAAAAACCTGCTGACATCAGAAGCCTCTACCAGAACTGATAGTCTGAAGGGCAGAAATCAAGTAGGTTAACAAGTCCTGCAGGACTACATGGTTGTTTCGGTTCTGTTTTGATGGTGGTTCTAATCCCTGGCAGGTGTGCATCCTCACTGGGTTCTCGGCACCCTGTTGCTCTGTTCGCAGCTACCAACAGAGCTGATGTGGTTAACCTGATGCTGAACACATCTTATCTCACTGCTGAGGTGAGGCTTTTAAAACTAAAATAAAATTATAAATAAAAAGTTAATCTACAGATTACACACTTCTTCTTTAGTTGTATGTCCACTGTAGTGTGGTGCTGTCAGATCTGGGAGTCAACAATGCAGCAAAATCCTGTAACTACAACTCGACTGGATCACGGTAAGTACAGATGCAACATGAAGCATCCCATTTAAAGGATTTTGTCAAGTTGTGGCTTTATTTTTAAGATGGGAGGAACTAAGTGGCGACACAGAAGTCTGTGCTTGCTGTAGCTCAAAGTGTAAAGGACAGTCGCACAAGAACCTTCCTGATGGTGAGTTTATTGGTTTTTCAGGATGCTCATCTTTCTTTGCTTAACTTTGTGCGTATCTTCTCAGGTGCCAAAGGAGCCGTCAGCCTTGGCCCATTGCTCATAGTGGATGAGTGGGAGTTCAGCACTGTTCTTCCAGACTCTAAACGCCTTGAATCATCAGGTTCCTCCTTGCCCACCACCACAAGGGCTTCCACTGTACCTGGAGAAGATGGAATAGTTTCTTCTGCTTTTCTGAGCCAAGGCGAGCTCCAGTCTTCCCCAAAGGGTATCTTAGTGGTGCACCAGGAGCCGACAACCAGGTTAACTGTTTGGCTACCTGAGCAAGTGCAGGGTGATCTACCCACTGCACCTGTAATCGAGAATATAGGTGGCTCTTCACAGTGGGACACTAAGCTGGTTGATGGGTGGCAGATTCCACAAAATGACTTTTCCTTTGAATTTCAAAGGAAAAGTAGATATGATCATTTGGACACAGAAAAAAACCAACCTGGCTTCCCTCATCCTACTGAGATGGATGTTAATCCTTTGCTGGTTGAGCCAAAAGCTGCTGTCCCAGATGCAACAGCACAGGAAAGCCAAATGAATAGGTCACCATCGAGCAATTCTGAGCTGCAAAGGGATGCAGCGGTGGAGCCGGACTTGGAGGTCCAGCCAATAATTCGTACAAAACTGGAGTTTTCAAAGGGTGCAGATGGGTCAAAGAAGCTCAGTTACGAGGAAGAAGTTAAGCAGCAGGAGACCAGGCATGAGGCGAAGGATGGTGTGAAGAGGAAGCACAGACTGAAGGGGCTGCGCTTAACATTTGTGGATTTATTGAGGTATGAATTAATTTTAAAGCATTAGACCCCTTTAACATTTTATGTTGACTGGATCTGTTTGTTTGCAGGAAAATGGATAAGGAAGAATGATGCAACAAACAACAAAATAAACATTCATTCAAACAATTGACTCTGGTTTTCAGGTTTATTTTTTTTAATTCCTATTCACTGAAATTATACATTAATGCTGACATTAAACTTCGTCCCCCCAAAAAACTTAAATGCACATTTAAAGTGTGGGCACTGGAATTTATCCAAAAGGCACGAATACTGGGTACAACCTGTGATGGGTAAACTGTGTAATGACTATTAAAGACTGAACTCGAACAATTGCCATTATAAAATACTAATATTATGTGGTAAACATAAAATGCATTTGAAGTACTAATGTTACCAGCTGGTAATTGCCTCAAAGTAAACTGTGCTCTTCTGCATATACAGGTTTTGCTGATGAGTGTATTTAAATGTCACACTTCAAGCTGCACATGCTTAGTTAAATATGCTTAAATGGCTGGAAATTTAACAAAGGGTACGATTAACTCTGAAAGACTACGGTTTCATTTAATGGGGTCAGTTAAGTCATGGTATGGGGTGGGGAAACCAGGATTTTTAAGTCTTTACCATGGCTTTACACTACAAAGAAATATCTATTTGGCCTTTATTTGAGCAGGTAAATTGGATGATCTTCCAATGGAATAAGTACTTTTAATCTTCAAATAAGAATCGGATATTGGCTTGATCGAAGACGATGCAATTTTTCTTAAATGAAATGGGTTTTACTTTTGGCAAAGTGTCTTAAGAAAAATACTTCATTTTGCATTGTAAATGTTATGGCTGAATTTCTAATAAAAGGTTTATCTTCAATGTTTTAAGGTAAAACTTTAAGTCAACATTTTCTATAAAATGTCTAACCTTTGTCTTAAACTTGGAAATATATTAAAGTCCAACCTTTAGTTTTACAGTGGCAATCACAGCTGTGCATCTAAAATGATGGGAGTTAATCTAAGGTTCTGTTAAGATTTTCAATTAAGTCTTTGCAAAACAGTCTTTGGTTCCACTTGTGCTATTAATGAAATTTAAACGTGTATTAATATCCTATGGTTAAACTTAAAATGCTGAAATAACAGTTTAAATACTATAGGACATAAAATACAACTGGGCTTTAACATTTTATACCTCACTTATGGTCCACATTTAAGTTCAGTTCAGTTTATTTTATATACAGACAATACATAACACGTCATCTCAAGGCACTTTATAGTTGACCAGATCATCCAGTCAAATTGATTCAAAGTTTTCTAAGGAAAACCAGTTGATTGCATCGGTTCATTGACTTAAATGCAATCCCACACACTAAGCGTGCTTGTAGCGACAGTGGAGAGGAAAAACTCCCTCTTAACAGGAAGAAACCTCCGGCAGAACCAGGCTCGGTGTGAGCAACCATCTGCCGAGGCCGAGTGGGGTTCAAGGAGACAGAAGCAGAGATACAAAAAGCAGCTGTTAAAGGCGGGTCCAGGAAACACAGCCAGGCAGACGAGCTCTGAGCCAGCTCCCATGTCAGAGGATGAAGAGAGCTCATAAACAAAGGTGTTGACGGCAGCAACACAGCTGATATTTCTCTCCAGGATGGTGTCAGTGAAACAGGAACAGACGAGGTAAAGCTATGAGGAAAAAGCAGAGAGACCATAATGTTAGAGATTCAACGGTTCTGCAGAGTGGGAGAATAGAGAGAATGATGAAATCCCACCTCCCCTCTAAGGGGAAAAATAAGTTGGGTTTTTTTTTATCTTTAATTTCTTGATTGACTTTGTTCTCACAGTGCAGAAATGTACTTGTTACATCAGCTCAAAATTTAAAGAACTTGCCAAAGGATTAAAAAGGTGCATGATATAGGCCTATATTTACAGTGCGTCCACATGACAGCTTTTATTTTTTTTCTTCAAGTAAAACTTTTAAAGCTACAGTGTGTAACTTTTAGCGACATCTAGCGGTCAGACTGCAGACTGCAGCAACATGAACATCTCCCCCCACCGCTTCTCCCCCCCCCAACAGTACGGCGAGTGTTACAGGACAAAATGTCTTCCACGACGTCCTCATCACCTACCTTCTCAAGTGATGAGGTTTGTTTACATAGATAATTTTACAGATAGTATTTCATTAGTCTGTGTAGGGTATAGATTTCATGTAGACTTAAGATAATAAATATACCCGTTATTTTTTCTACATCGTTGTGACATTTTGGCGATCTCGCAATCACTAGTTTGTTGGCTCTGCGCTGCCGTAGCGCAAAGATGTCTGCCTCCATGGCTGCGAGACCCGCTCCTATGTAATTATAAATAACGAATTCTAAGGCAACACAAATATTAAGGTTAAGAGGCTGAGCTCGTAGATGATGATAAAATAACATAGTTATGTATAGTATATTAAATTTCTGACTGTATATCCCTGTAATTATTACACACTGTAGCTTTAAGTGAAAATATTTGCTTCTTAAAATTGGAAATATTTTCCAACTGTAAAAGTACAACCTTTTCAGTTTTACAGTAAATCCTGGCAAGCACAGCTGCTTTTAGTTCTTAGTGTATCTAACACTAGAGTATCTAAAATGATGGGATTTAATCTAAGGTTATCTGTTCAGATTTTCAATTATTAAATCTTTGCAAAACATTTTTATTTTGGTTCCACTGTGCTTTTAATGAAAGTGAAACATGTATTTTTTAATGGCCTACCTTAGTTAAAATTGAAATGCTGAAGTAATTGTTTAAATACTATAGGGCATAAAATAAAAATGGCCTTTTACATTTTATACCTCACTGATGGGTCCACATTTAATGCCACTCCCCCCCCCTGCCACTCCCCGACTAGGGGGGAAAAAAATGTTTTTTTGTCTTTAATTTCTCGATTGACTTTGTTCTCACAGTGGAAAAATTTACTAAATCAGCTCAAAATTTAAAGAACGTGCCAAAGGATTAAAAAGGTGCATGAGATATATAAAGTACGTCCACATGAATTTTTTAATTTTTTTTTTTATTTCTTAAAGTAAAAATTTTAGGTGAAAGTTTGCTTCTGTAAAAGTATCTGTCTTAAAATTGGAAATATTTTCCATCTGTGAAAGTCCAACCTTTGTAGTTTTACAGAAAAATACTGGCAAGCACAGCTGCTTTTATCCCTTAGTGTATCTAACACTATAGTATCTAAAATTATGGGATTTAATCTAAGATTATCTGTTCAGATTTTCAATGGACGTGCCAAAGGATTAAAAAGGTGCATGGGATATATACAGTGTGCCCACATGACTTTTTTTTTTTCTTAAAATAAAAATTTTAAGTGAAAATTTGCTTCTGTAAAAGTTTCTGTCTTAAAATTGGAAATACACTCACCGGCCACTTTATTAGGTACCCCATGCTAGTAACGTGTTGGACCCCCTTTTGCCTTCAGAACTGCCTCAATTCTTCGTGGCATAGATCCAACAAGGTGCTGGAAGCATTCCTCAGGGAGTTTGGTCCATATTGACATGGTGGCATCACACAGTTGCCGCAGATTTGTCGGCTGCACATCCATGATGCGAATCTCCCGTTCCACCACATCCCAAAGATGCTTTATTGGATTGAGATCTGGTGACTGTGGAGGCCATTTGAGTGCAGTGAACTCATTGTCATGTTCAAGAAACCAGTCTGAGATGATTCCAGCTTTATGACATGGTGCATTATCCTGCTGAAAGTAGCCATCAGAAGTTGGGTACATTGTGGTCATAAAGGGATGGACATGGTCAGCAACAATACTCAGGTAGGCTGTGGCGTTGCAACGATGCTCAATTGGTACCAAGGGGCCCAAAGAGTGCCAAGAAAATATTCCCCACACCATGGCACCACCACCACCAGCCTGAACCATTGATACAAGGCAGGATGGATCCATGCTTTCATGTTGTAGACGCCAAATTCTGACCCTACCATCCGAATGTCGCAGCAGAAATCGAGACTCATCAGACCAGGCAACGTTTTTCCAATCTTCTATTGTCCAATTTCGATGAGTTTGTGCAAATAGTAGCCTCAGTTTCCTGGTCTTAGCTGAAAGGAGTGGCACCCGGTGTGGTTTTCTGCTGCTGTAGCCCATCTGTGCCAAAGTTCGACGTACTGTGCGTTCAGAGATGCTCTTCTGCCCACCTTGGTTGTAACGGGCGGTTATTTGAGTCACTGTTGCCCTTCTATCAGCTCGAACCAGTCTGGCCATTCTCCTCTGACCTCTGGCATCAACAAGGCATTTCCGCCCACAGAACTGCCGCTCACGGGATGTTTTTCTTTTTCGGACCATTCTCTGTAAACCCTAGAGATGGTTGTGCGTGAAAATCCCAGTAGATCAGCAGTTTCTGAAATACTCAGACCAGCCCTTCTGGCACCAACAATCATGCCACGTTCAAAGTCACTCAAATCACCTTTCTTCCCCAGACTGATGCTCGGTTTGAACTGCAGGAGATTGTCTTGACCATGTCTACATGCCTAAATGCACTGAGTTGCCGCCATGTGATTGGCTGCTTAGAAATTAAGTGTTAACGAGCAGTTGGACAGGTGTACCTAATAAAGTGGCCGGTGAGTGTATTTTCCAACGGTAAAAGTTCAACCTTTGTAGTTTTGCAGATAAATACTGGCAAGCACAGCTGCTTTTATTTCTTAATGTATCTAACACTAGAGTATCTAAAATTTTGGGATTTAATCTAATCAGATTTTCATTTACTTAATCTTTGCAAGCCTTCCTTTTTTTTGGTTCCACTGTGCTATTAATGGAGTGTGCATATTTTGTTAATAGCCTACTTTGGATAAAAATTATAGAAAACATGCTCAAATGACAGTTTAAATATTATAGGGCATAAAATACAGATATGCTTTTATATCTCACTGATGGGTCCACATTTAATTAGTGACATATAGACTGAGCTTCCCAGCAGGTTTTCTGTATCTAAAGTTTGTTTGTATCCCAACCCAGGCGTCGCTGTGGGGAGCTGCTGTGTGTTGGGACAGTAACAGGGTGCGCTCTTCCTTTTACTGCGCATGCTCAGTGTGCTCCTATCCCAGGTTTGACCCTCACCACTATTTCCTCTGCACCGCTACTCTCTATAAAGGGCCCATGCT